CTTCAATAAAAAGTAGCGAAGCTTTTAAATCTGTTCATATTTTTATTAAATTCTAGGTACTTACTTCGTAAAAAATGTGAAAAATCAAAAAAAAAAGAAAAAAATATATAATGTTACCAAATTACATTAACTTAGAAGTTGTTGAAGCACTCTTTTAAGTAAACATATACCTGCGTTAGACTGCCTCATTCTCTCGTATCGTAATACATCACAACCTGTTTACAAAAAAAATATCTCGCCATTGCAGTGAATTTTATTCTTTAAGAGTGAATCAGGTGAAATATAGAGCTAAGGTTACTGTGAACGTACAACATATGGCATCTCTTATCTATTAGACAAGTCCGTCCGTCCGTCCGTCCGTCCGTGGTGCTGTTTCAGCGGCCAAACCGTAAGAGATAGATATAGAGAATGTTTAAGTTACAAGTTAAGAATAGTCTGATAACACTACAAACCGGATGTGAGTAACGTAGCACTTCCGGTTTTCGAGAAATCACGTGATTTCTATTTCAAACGAAACCACACAAAATCTCCGAAGTTCTCAATTAATTAAATACATTTTTTTTTTATTTTTTTTTGGTGAACATTTGGTTCACTGGTTTGCTAGTATATATATATATATATGTCGGAGGGGCGAGCGGTAATAGGCAGTTGGCCACGTGGTTTCGTCTTGATCCGCCATCTTGGGTATTCAATGTTATTTCCCGAAAATAAAACTATAGTCTACTGACCAAGCTTACGTTTAATTAGAAGCTTCTTATTACTTTACAAAATCAGTTATGATTGCCAAGGTACAAACGGATTGCATTGTGAAGCGCGGAGAGTTCTGTGCTAACGTCCGTTCACTATCGCAGCTCACGTCTGAATGCCGAATGCCCCTTCCAATGAAGCATAGCCCCTTAAATACTACCCTTAGCATAGACCACTCCCAAGTGATGACAGCTGTCACTGTCATTACTTGACGTTTCACAAAGCAATGGTACACTGACTGATGACATTTGTTGTTTAACGTTTCGAAGGAGCGAGTGAGACACCATCCGCCGACACATATATATATATATATATATATATATGTCATATATATACATGTTGTTACAAAAATACAAATAAAGCTTGAAGGGCGTTGAAGTACATCATATAAGGAGTCTTCTCTAATTTTCTTAAAATATTTGCATCAAGTTTTAACTTTTTATAATCACAGTTATTTTTAATGATCCTCGAACTAGTGACGTGTCTTAAAATGATCGATATTTTTATCTGAATCATTAAAAATAACTGTTTTTATAAAAATGAAAACTTCATGCAAATATTTTAAGAAAATTAGAGAAGACTCCTTATATGATGTACTTCAACGCCCTTCAAGCTGTATTTGTATTTTTGTAACATCCTGTATATATATATGGCATTAACTATGCCCTTCTTGACGCTTTTCTGAATACATCTCGTGGGAGCTCATTAAAATGGCTCTAACGCCCATTCTCCATCCGTTTGTTACCGAAAATTGTGTGGTTTTGCGGAGTCTTTTTATGTAAAAAAGTAGGACAAACGCGAATTGACCTCGCTCACCGAAGGTTCAAATTAGCGTCGTACAATTTTTTAGGTACACAGCAGAAACGGCCGTTTCTTTTTGTACGTGAAAACGTCTGATAAATCGATGAATACCGGCAGTACGCACGAAAAAGTGTGACGTCATGTCACGTTGTCACGAGTTAGTTCGACGTTCCGTAGTGCGTGTGAGGTGAGGTTGAGGGGTTCATTCGACTCTCCCTGCCTTCCCTGACCCCCAGACCCTTTGAGCATCCTGACCCCTCTGACCCCTTGAAAGACACCTCACCCCCGCGTAGTCTAAATGTCGCCGCACACAGGCCACCGACTAAAACCACAAAACGCCGCCAACGGCATATTTCTTGTAGTTTTCATTCATTTTATTTGGACTCACCACACACGGTACGCCGGTGGCCGCCACACGCTACAAATCGTCGTTGCTCGCTTCTTGTGGCCCGCACCGGCCACTTAATGCGCCGATACAAAACACCGCCACACGTCACTCGCGCGATTCCCCACCCCTCTCTTCCATACCTTAGACGGCCGCTGTCGCGCGCTTCAGCCACTTTAGTAGCCGCTTCTAGCTTCTCGTGGCGGCGTTTGTGGCTGTGGCGTGTGGCCCGTGTGCGGCGACACTAACTCTATCATCCATAAAGCTACAGAGGTGTGCTTGGGCTCAAAGAAACCGTAACAAAACAGCCAGCGACAACAGGATAGCACGTAAAATTGTCGTTCGTAAACCGACTTTACAAACAACATTTTGACTTTAACTTAGAAGTATGTTTTTTTTTGTGGATGAGGGCGTGGGGGATGTGTAGGGTACGTGGAGTAAAGTGATTTCAGAAGCTACAAAAAAAAATATGTGTACATGATTTCGCACTCATCTGCACCAAAATTTAAGATGAAGAGTCACTTTATTAATTATCAACATGTGTTTATTTATGTGTATAAATATTTAAATATAATTGTGGTATGTATATCTTTATATATATAATTCTTCTGTGAGTGTGTATGTCACTGAACTTCTCTTAAACGACTGGACCGACTTTGATGAAATTTTTTGTGTGTGTTCAAGGGGATCTGAGAATGGTTTAGATTCACAATTTTGTCCGCTGGACAACCCCTATTTTTTTAGGACGGTACGAAGTTCGCTGGGTCAGCTAGTATTGCATATTTCTTTCGAAGTATGTATTTATTTAAGTATCTATGTTAATTCGTATATATTTTTAATATTATTTATTATGTCCATATTTATGTGTATATTTTAGCTTCATACAGCCGTTCGCGTTTTTCTTTTTTCCCAGAGGTTGACTAAGAGAAAATGCTATTGGCATTAAGTCCGCCTTTTGTGGCATTCTCTTGTATTTTGGTCAATAAAGTTTCAAATAAATAAACAAATAACCATTAAAACGGCTATGAGTGGAATTCTATTCATTAACTTATCACAATACAAACAAAACTTAGATAAGGAATATACACATGCATAAAAACGTGCTTGTCGACATGTCATTGTCTAGAACGATCACGATTGTTAAGCGACTGTGGCAGACGCTCGTAATCGGATGGGTGATCATGACATTTTTATTAATTGTATTTTGACGACCTCCTTGGAATTGAGGAGCTTGATGGCGCAAGTTCGGCTGCGATCGTTGAACTTAAGCAACTTTCGCAGTGGTCGGGCATTGGATGGGTGACCAAAAATTACTATCTCGAGCTCCTCCGTGCTTCGGAAGGCACGTTAAGCCGTTGGTCCTGGCTGCATCTGCAGTCGTTAGCACCCACCAATCCGCACTGGGCCCGCGTGGTGGGTCATGGCCCAATCTCCCTATTCCATCCATAGGGAAGACCTGTGCCCCAGCAGTGGGGATATTAAAAGGCCGATGATGATGATGATGATGACCTCCGTGGCCGAGTGGTTTGTACGCCGCATTTCAAGGTGTCGCCTACTCGAGAGGTTCCAGCTTCGAATCCCGGGGGGCAAATGTTTGTGTGACTAATACGAGCATTTGCACTCCAGTCATGGATGTGTCATATGTATTTCTTTATAAATATACTTAAATATGTAACAGTATCATGTATTCTATATCTCATAACACAAGCCTACAGTGCTTACTTCGGGATTATTTGACAAGTTTAAGGCCCACTTGCACGTTCCAGGGTTAATTTATTTACCTTTGAATTAACTATTAAACCGGGGTTAAAAAAATATTTTTTCTTGCACTGGCATGAGTTAACACTAAAGCTTAGGTTAAATAATAAAATAATTAACCCGCCAAAGTTGGAGGGTTAAATTGCTAACTCGAGATTCAAAACGTCAAAATTGTTATTATAGGCAGTGTTGTTTGTTTTTATAGAGATAACATTTTATTTTATTTATTTCTGAATGATGGATGGCTTTTTGTTTTCTGATGATGACGAAAAAATTGTCGACTATAATATAAGTAGGTACATATTTTATTGACCGATATATCCTGCCAAGGTTTTTATTTTGGAAGAAGAGTAGCGCCGTATTTTTTTTTATTTTCAAATATATTTGCATAAAATATCACATGTATAGCAGTATACTGTCACTACTTGTAAAATTCGGGGCACGTAAACGAGATTTCTTCTTCATTTTACAAAATATAACCGCACGAAATTTTTGTCACAAAATACAAACTTACGAGACAGATATGTACTTTAAAAAAACCATGCAATCGGTAAACAAACACCTATTTGACAGACAAAATACAGGACGCCATTCAACTTAAACGCCCAAAAACACCACGTCTTTTCAAATTTGACATTACAAAAGAGACATATGCAAGATACTGTTGTGTGAAAGGGAGAACAATACTTATGTCATTCATCATTCTCTCTTTTTATTGGGTTAGTAAACCCTGCATTATTTTCTGTTCATGCAAGATAAAGTCTGAGTTAAGAAAATGTTATATTAACTGTGAGTTAGTAAACTCGTAGTTATTTTGATATCTCAAGATTTACGTGCAAGTGGGCCTAAGAAAACGATCTCACGTTATTGACTAATGTTTATTGAGTCCGTCCGGAGTGGATATTCATCATTCCGTTGTGTATTTCAGTAAAAATAACCAAATCAAAAACTCCATTTTCAATTTCCTGCGAAAACGTTTCTCTGGACAATATGGCGTCTCACTGGTGTATGACGTCACACTAATGTCATTAAAACGTCGAATGATACAATGTAATGTCACTTTAACCGGAAGTTTACTTGCGTGTGACGTCATTTTAGGCTCCGCCTATCCCAAGCGTTTTGGGTCACGTGAGAATAGATAAGAAAACTATTATCTTTTTCGTGGGTTTTTAGTAAAATTATGAATATTTTTTTGTAAAAATAGTAAAAACCCCTGCCTATATTCATTCTTAACACAGATGCTAACAATTGGCACTTTATTTTTAATACCGTCAAATATCCTAATAAAAATATTTTGCTTCATTTAGGAGTTACGTCGCTTCGACACACAGTGTCTAATTAAATTACATCCATTGTATGCTCATACGCATCTCTGGCTTCAGACGTTTTATAAGATGACTATTATAAAATAATCGAAAGTGTTAAGTTATCATCTAAATTAGTTATAATACAATAGTTGTGTGTTAGTTTCACTAAGTGGTATTGAGTGATTTTACTAAGACAGGCACTACATTAACAAAATCTCTCAACATAAGTGTCACATTCAATTGAACTGTGTTTTGACTGCGGGAAATAAAGAAGTCAAAGCGAGTTTTGAAGCTAGGACTCCTGGACATGCGAATTTTATTGAACACACAAAGAAAACAGGTAGGTATTTATGGAATTGTTACCATGCACCTTGTTTTGAACGAGTTTCCGATATTTCGGCACTGTTGCAAGCGCCATTATCAAGGAATATTTGCAATTCGTAATAATATAAATAAAATTATAATGTCAGTGACCATGACAGTTTTAAACAAACAAAAGAGTAACGATAAAGTTTTCATTATTTATCGTTATTATTTTTATAATTTTAGTACTTGCCTGGTCATAGTATGTTGTGTCAACAATCAGAAATGTGAAGCGCAAGGTCCGTTTTAAGATGGGTTGACCGTTTGTTTCCAGTAGCAAAAATCTTGAGTTTTGCTAATTCTTCATAGCGATTTGTAAATAAATTGAGAAAAGAAATAATACACATAGATAAAGTTACAAAGGATCCGAAACCGTATTAGCAAGTTGAAGTGGCAGTGGGCCGGCCATATTTGCCGAAGAACCGATAACCGTTGGGGTAGACGAGTTCTGGAGTGGAGACCGCGTCTAGGCAAATGTAGTGTAGGACGTCCTCAGGCACGATGGAGTGACGATTTGCGAAATGTGGCTGGCAGGAGCTGGATGCGAGTAGCCCAAGATTGATCTGAGTGGCGTGCATTTGGAGAGGCCTATGTCCAGCAATGGACTAAGATAGGCTGTGATTGATTTATTGATCAGAAACATCGGGAACATGTAAATAATTGAAAGCATAGCTCAAACTCGTCTAAAAGAGTGTTTGATGATTCGCGTGTGTAAAAACAAGAAATAAATAAATCTGAAATGTTAGTAATCATTAATGATAATTGTGAGGAGCTCGAAGCCAAAAGTGGTTAGCGCGTTCGACTGTTAATGTTAAGCAACTTTCGCAGTGGTCGGTCATAAGATGGGTGACCAATAAATTAGTATCTCTCACTCCTCCTTCGGAAGGCAGGTTAAGCCGTTGGTCTCGGCTGTATCTGCAGTCGTTCGCACCCACCGATCAGCACTGGGCCCGCGTCGTGGGTCATTGCTCAATCTTCCTATACCATCCATAGAGAAGGCCTGTGCCCCAGCAATGGAGTCATTAATAGGCATTTAATTATGACAATCTTACCCAGTAAATTCTTTTTTTTTTAAACAGCAATTAGCCTAGCCCCAAAGTAAGCACTGTAAGGCTTGTGTTATGGGATACTAGGGTAACGGATCGAATACATATACTGATACATATATTAGTATATTTATATAGAAATACATATTTAACGTCCGTGACTGGAGTACGAATGCTGGTATTCATCACAAAAACTTCGGCCCTCACCGGGATTCGAAACCGGGACCTCTCGAGTAGGTGACACCTTGAAACCAGGCGTACAAACCACTCGGCCACGGAGACCGTCAACATACAATCAATAAAAACGTCATAGTCAGACGTTTTGGCGGGATCGGAAAGCGTCACTTTAGCAGTTTCGTTTTTCTTGTTAAAAATTGAATTGTGGCGGATGTTAGTGTCTAATAATGGTGGATTATTAACCACTAAGTGTTCGGGAACATGCACAAGTGTTGGCAAGTGAAACAAAATAGCGGAAAGTGTCTTTCGACGTTCCCTCAAGAAGTCCACGGGGAGGTTCCAGTAAATCCCCACACTTTTACAAAAACATAGGGAAAGGGGGATTGACTTGACTGCCACTTACTTTGACTTGATTTATTACTTTGACCACGAGTGCTATAGAATTTGTAAACATTTTAACACTTGACATTGGCTCAATGCACAAGCCGAACGAAGCCATTTAGGAAAACAAAACGTCATGGTCACCAATCCGAACACAAGCGTCTGCCACAGTCGCTTAACAATCGTGATCGTTCTAGACAATGACATGTCGACAAGCACATTTTTATGCATGTGTATATTCCTTAACTAAGTCTTTCGTTTTGTTTGTATTGTGATAAGTTAATGAATAGAATTCCACTCATAGCCGTTTTAATGGTTATTTGTTTATTTATTTTAAACTTTATTGACCAAGCTCGATAGCGCAAGTGGTTAGCGCGTTCGGCTGCGATCGTTGAAGTTAAGCAACTTTCGCAGTGGTCGGTCATTGGATGGGTGACCAAAAATTACTATCTCGAGCTCCTCCGTGCTTCGGAAGGCACGTTAAGCCGTTGGTCCCGGCTGCATCTGCAGTCGTTAGCACCCACCAATCCGCACTGGGCCCGCGTGGTGGGTCATGGCCCAATCTCCCTATGCCCTCCACAGGGAAGGCCTGTGCCCCAGCAGTGGGGACATTAATAGGCTGATGATGATGATGATGATGATTATTGACCAAAAATACAATAGAATGGTACAAGAGGCGGACTTAATGCTAATAGCATTCTCTTCTAGTCAACCTCTGGAAAAAAAATGCGCGAAAGGCTGTATGAAGCTAAAATATACACATAAATATGGACATAATAAATAATATTGAAAATATATACGAATTAACATATATTCTTAAATAAATACATAGTTCGAAAGAAAGTTACATATATACATATCAGAATTATATTTAAATATTTATACACATAAAGAAACATATGTTGAGAATCAATAAAGTGACTCTTCATCATAAATTTTGGTGTAGATGAGTACGAACATTTCTTTTAAATATAAGGTTAATTTACAAGGTAAAATTACAGAATTCTGTTTTGTTATTACGAAGTCACTCTAGTCTTACGCACACGGGCGATATGCCACAGCCACAAACGCCGCCACGAGAAGCTAGAAGCGGCTACTAAAGTGGCTGAAGCGCGCGGCAGTGGTCGACTAAGATAAGGGAGAGAGGGGTGGGGAATCGCGCGAGTGACGTGTGGCGGCGTTTTGTATCGGCGCATTAAGTGGCCGGTGCGGGCCACAAGAAGCGAGCAACGACGATTTGTAGCGTGTGGCGGCCACCGGCGTACGGTGTGTGGCGAGTCCATATAGAATGTATGAAAACTACAAGAAATATGCCAGTGGCGGCGTTTTGTGGTTGTGGTCGGTGGCCCGTGTGTGGCGACACTAACACGCTGTTTTTTTCATAACAACGCAACGCGCCAGGCTATAGAAACTGGTAGAACAACGGCATATCAAAAATCTATTTTACTAAAGTCATACTGACAAACTCTAAAAACTTTATTGAATATTATAAGTCTAGAACTTTAATGTTGTCTGGAAAGTTTGAATGAATTAATTTTGGAATATATTTTTTTAATACCAGGAGGGAAGCCACCAAATGTATATTGCTTAATTATTATATTTCAGGTCTGTTCATTTCAATATTTTAAAATAAATTTCTTTAAGAAATTTTTGGGAGTAGTTATCAAGTTCGAAAAGTTTCATTAAAAATAAATTATGTCTACATTTTAAAGCAATCATAGTTTGTAGGATTCATTATTTTATTTCTTTATAGAAAATAATAAAAGATGGCGGATAGACACGACGGACATGCGATGAAGATATTAAAGCAATCATAACGTTGTAGGTTTTATATATTTCTTTACGACCACCGTGGCCGAGTGGTTTATATGCCAGGTTTTATAGTGTTGCCGACTCGAGAGGTCTCGGGTTCAAATCCCGGTGGGGGCAGATGTTTGTGTGATGAATACGAGCATTTGTACTCCAGTCATGGATTTTTAATATCTACTTCTATATAAATATACTTATATATGTATTCTATCCGTTACCCTAGTATCCCATAACACAAGCCTTATAGTGCTTACTTTGGGACTAGGCTAATTGGTGTGAGTGTTGGAAATCCCTACATGGTCATTGTACATGAGATCCCTGCATGGTCAGATTTCGAGGAACTTAACCACCAATTGCGGTGAGCATTAAAGTCCCCAAAAAACACCAATTCTGCATTGGGAAATTGCTTCTGCGCGTCATCTGCTGCCCGACTAAGATGTTCGAAATGTCGAGTTGTCTCAACATCGCCAGTATGGGATCTGTAGAGGCACATGTAGACTCTGGCCTGGGGACCAGAGTCGACGTGTACCCATAACATGGAGAAGGAGGGATCATTCAAGCAGCGGAGACGGCGACAACAAACATCCGCCCGAACATACAGGCATACACCGGCTTTCGCTTTGAAGGACTCTTCAAGCACGTAGCCGGGATAGTTAAGTTAGCCTATGTCAGCAGGCGGAAGTATTTGTGTCACCGTCAGGAATAACAATGCTGGCCGTGCTGTCTCAAGATGGTGGTGGACAGCGTTGAGTTGTTGCAGAACTCGACCTCATACAGCGTACAATGGAATGTCAAGATATGGATACATCGATGGGCTGTTCAAATAAACCCAGCTTTCAGTTAGACATGAAACACGTAATTGAACACCTCATTATGATTCATACTCAACCTTGAATATGCCTCTTGTGTATAGAAGAATTCACAGTATAATACATACATTAATGCTATTGAAAGAATTCAACATAAAGGACATCGACGAAATCGGCCCTAGCATGCCCAAAAGAATGTCCTTCACTATTATTTTTCTATTATTTTTTTAACTTATTAACAATTAATCATAGTAAACGGACAATCTGTTTAAAAAATAAAAGTTCTGTTACTAGATACTACAGTCTGTTCATCCAACTTGGCACTCCTTTTTATTGAAAATACAGCATTAAAAATCAACTGATAACTGGATTCAATAGGTTTCAGTCTATAATAACGATTTATTTTCATAGTTTATTGGCTTCGTTAATATTTTATTATTAAATGGCTGATTCTGTTAAAAAGTTGTGCCAATATTGTTTACCTTAGTAATGCATTATAGGCGACCATAGGTATTTATCACCATATCACCATAAAAATAGTACCTTACTTAATAATACTTATTACTAGTATTTATATTATATTTATAAAAAGATTATTTTTGAAATTATCTAAAGATAGTTTATACTGTATCTGTTTATTTTTATGAAAATCATAATGATAACCAGGTACATACCTAATTACCGATAGCAAAATATAGAAACAGGTAAATGGAAAGACTGAACATTTCATTTGAAAAGAAATCTATCATTACTTACTACAGGTAGGTATATGTATCATAGGTGCCAACTGACAACACTCATAAATCAATATGAATATAAGCATTTATTATTTTTATTATTAATTGCATTTTATGTTTATTTAATGCATATTATTTGAGTGCTTACATAGAGGTAAACACTTAATCTATTCAGAATATATAAAGTGTACATCTTTTATGATTAAGTATAATAATTATAACCTCAAAATCTAATACATTCTGTAGTAGGCCACGGTTCCTCAAGTTGTCCGTATCTCAACAAATGCTTATTTAGAGTTTATGAAAGATTACGAACACAACTAGCATTTTCTCATTGCTGGGCGTTCTAGGGCATTCAATGTATGGGGAACGAGCAAAGTCCTTTGTAAAATACTTAGAAAACAGAATTCATTTTATTATTAATGATTGTGAAACAAAGTTACAGGTTACATCCTTGCAACATCGCAGAACTGTTAGAGATCAATTATTTCTTTACAAACTTATTAATAACCTTGTGGATTCACCGTTCCTTTTGCAGAGGATTGGTTTCCGTTGTCCAAATAGAACTAGGTCTGACAACACGTTTGTAATACAATTCAGCAGGACCAAGTTCGCTGCAAATAGTTTCATATCTAGAGCAAGTCACAGCTATAATATAATAGGCATGGTTGGTGCTGACGATTGCAGATGCAGCCGGGACCGACGGCTTAACGTGCCTTCCGAAGCACGAAGGAGCTCGAGATAGTAAATTTTTGGACACCCCTCCAATGACCGACCTCTGCGAAAGTTGCTTAACTTCAACAATCGCAGCCGAACGCGCTAACCACTTGCGCCGACAAGCACCTCCTGTGAAGGCTTATGTTGAACTAGTAAACGCCCGCGACTTCGTCCGCGTCAACTTAGTCTTTTGAAAACCCCTCTGGAACCTAACAATTATTTGGGATAAAAAGTAGCATATGTGTTAATCCAGGATGTCAGCTAACTCCATAACAAATTTTATTAAAATCACTCCACCCGTTTAAACGTGAAGAAGTAACAAACATACACACTCACAAACTTTCAACTTTATTGTATTAAAGTGTGATAAATAATGACCGATGCTGATTAATTTTCCATTTTTCCTTTCAGAACTGAAAGAAGATGATACTGAAATACCTAATCTGCATATTCGGTGAGCATATTAATGTTCAATTTTAATAAAACATACATTAAGGACATCAATGTCATCAGCCTATCTGTTACTAAGTGTCGCCGCACACGGGCCACAAGCCACAGCCACAAACGCCGCCACGAGAAGCTAGAAGCGGCTACTAAAGTGGCTGAAGCGCGCGACAGCGGCCGACTAAGGTAAGGGAGAGAGGGGTGAGGAATCGCGCGAGTGACGTGTGGCGGCGTTTTGTATCGGCGCATTAAGTGGCCGGTGCGGGCCACAAGAAGCGAGCAACGACGATTTGTAGCGTGTGGCGGCCGCCGGCGTACCGTGTGTAGCGAGTCCATATAAAATGCATGAAAACCACAAGAAATATGCCGGTGGCGGCGTTTTGTGGTTGTGGTCGGTGGCCCGTGTGCGGCGACACTAAAGGCCACCATAGTCTATAGACGCTTTCTATGCTGAAGTATACCCGGCAATCTTCTTGAGCAAAGACCATAGGCAAGGCGGCTTGTGCAGCAGGAATTTTACGTACAAAAACGTCTACTGCGCAAGTTTGTATGTGATTTTGTACTTATATCACCCGCGCGTCACTTACTTTTACCTCATCCCGAACTGATGACTAGGGAATATACCAAATTCGAAGTGAATTTGGTATATTCCCTAGTCATCAGTTAAACTTACAAAGATTCCTCTCTGAAAATAGGGAAATCCTCGGAAATTTGCCAAGAGTAAATTACTGTCTATTAAAAAAATCGAACAATGAAATAACCGAACGCTCAATAAAAGTCTTTCGAAGGTAGCTCGACAAATATAAATAAAAAATTTATTCTGACGACGCGGCCTGTAAAGGCTGCGAAACGTCAATAAATAAATAAAGTTTCGTGCATTAACCCGTGAAAAAGTAGTTTTATTTAATGAGTGATGTGCGTGAAACCCTAAGAAACAAATACGTTTTTAATTGTTATCAAAAATTCAGATCTTTCCAACAAGCATCAGTGGTGCCACAAAACACATAAAGTGGTTAGAACATAGATCTTAAACCGTTTGTACGGGAACTGATGGTGCCGATGCGCCCCCACTACACCCAGAAGAAAATAGCCAATCAAACGACGCGACTTCAAACAATCGAACCAATTAGCGCTCACACCGGAGAGCAACGACGCAATCAGAACCAAGCTTTGGTCAAGTTGTGAGCATTTTCTCACACATTACTGTGACACGCCTGCCCCGCCCACAAGACTCTTCTAACCACTTTCTGTGTTCTGTGGGTGGTGCAGTGGTGGAAAGCTCTCCTGGTACACGGGCAGCATGAGATCAAATCTCAGCTGTGGAATAACTTTTTTTATTAATGATTTCTTGAGTTGTGGTTTCATAAAGCCATACTTTATTTCCTTCCAGCTACTACCACAGCAGTCCTGACTTCCACCAAGGACGTCCGCATCCTCTTCCCTGAAGATAAGCAGTATGTCTATGAGATCACAGCGGCTATGTCTTCGGGCACCATCACTCCAAGGGAAGCCTTCACCAGCTGGACTCTGGAGGGGAGACTGCACGTCCAGGTGCTGGGTAATGACAGTCAAGTGAGGTTCCAGCTGACAGACCTGAAGGTGAGTAACTGCATGTAAGAATAGGATAAGAATTCAGTTACGCTATCACCCAATTGATGGCACTGTGTCGATCCTGCATCGCGGTGTAGTTTTGTTTCCATGATTACTTTTTATTATTATGTTTTATGTCCTGTTGGCTGTTTCTTTTTTGTTATTCCCTTCTCATTGGTTGGTCGCATCAGATGAATCATGTAAGGTCCTTATGGCCAAAGGTATCCCCCATGAGTGTGTTTTAGTCAGTAAGAATTTGACATAACCCTACAGCTGGCTGTAAGGTATGCTTGAGTGTTTTACACCCGTTCCCAACCTGGAAGGAAAAATAAGTCCTGCTAATGCCGTCACCCCACCGATGGCAGCTGTCGAAGTGGCGACGACCACCGCCAACATGGGTCAAAGGTATGCATGAGTGTTTCACACCCGTTCCCAACCTGGCAGAAAAAAAAAGTTCTGCTGATGCCGTCATCCCACCGATGGCAGCCGTCAAAGTGGCGATGGCCACCGCCAACAAGCTGTCAGCCGTGAATGGGTCAATGGCACCCGTCCCGCGTAGAAGACTGCCATCTGCGTGTTGAAGGTTAATGGCTCGTCGGCTGCGTAGGTTGTCACTACGTTGACGGCTGCCTTTGACGGGTTGACGGTTGACGGCTCTTCGCCGGCGGTCGTCAACTCGTTGACGGCTGCGATGTATTATAAGGAACCGCAAAGGTTCCGTGGTCGCAAGACATTACTATCTCCATTTTTCTCGCCTCATTCTATTCGCCTAATTGATTTATTCTAACCTGCCAACATTACTTCAAATAAAATCGTGAACATTATTGTAAAAATAATTATCTATATTCTCTAAGGGTTTCAAGAATATCGTTTTAATTTTCAGACTTCAGTGAACAGCAAGAGCGATGGCTACATTTCCTACAAATTTGAAGAAGAAGCCAGACATCTCAAACTGCCCTGGATAGTTGACTATTACAAGGTACAGCTCGTATCAGCTGCGATCTTTGAAGTTAAGCAACTTTCGCAGTAGTCGGTCATTGGATGGACCAAAAATTTACTATCCCGAGTTCCTCCGTGCTTCGGAAGGCACGTTAAGCCATTGGTCCCGGCTGCATCTGCAGTCGTTAGCACCCACCAATCCGCACTGGGCCCGCGTGGTGGGTCATGGCCCAATCTCCCTATTCCATCCATAGGGAAGGCCTGTGCCCCAGCAGTGGGGACATTAAAAAGCTGATGATGATGATGATGATGACAAGGTACAGATGCCAATATTTATTACCATTTTATTTCAATAATCGGTCTGATATCAACCTAGGTAGAGCCTAAATTGCAGAAACTAATTAACGTTTGTATTAACTTCGACTGCATTATACTTTTTTTTTTATTTTTTATGTTATAAGTGTCGCCGCACACGGGCCACCGACCACAACCACAAAACGCCGCCAGCGGCATATTTCTTGTAGTTTTCATACATTTTATATGGACTCGCCACACACGGTGGCCGCCACACGCTACAAATCGTCGTTGCTCGCTTCTTGTGTCCCGCACCGGCCACTTAATGCGCCGATACAAAACGTCGCCACACGTCACTCGCGTGATTCCCCACCCCTCTCTCCCTTACCTTAGTCGGCCGCTGTCGCGCGCTTCAGTCACTTTAGTAGCCGCTTCTAGCTTCTCGTGGCGGCGTTTGTGGCTGTGGCGTGTGGCCCATGTGCGGCGACACTAAGGGTGGCAAACAAGCGTGTGCCATATGTAAGCGCCCACCATAGGCATACAATACACTTGCAATATAAAAAATATTACTCGCGCCCTGACCAAATCCCCTACTCCGGTGAGCGATGGATCCTTACTCACCGCCTCACCGACACTATATTTATTTATTTATTTAAACTTTATTGCCACAGTTACAAAAATGGACAAAAGGCGGACTTAACGCTAAAAGCATTCTCTGCCAGTCAACCTTTAGGCGTAGAGAAATTCACGAATGCGGCTATATATATAAAAAATGATTAACTATAAACATACACCAATAAAAGTAACTACATATATATTTATTTAAAAAAAAAACCCCTAAATATACATGCATAGACTACAATTAAATATATGTATAATATTTATAATATATATATATATATATATATATAATATACATACATACATACATACATAATCATTATTAACATACTTTATAAAATTTATTGATGACGAGACTGTGAAGGGAACTTGTGAGTAAAGTTTAACGTTATTAGCTTTCTAGAAGAAGTTCAAGAAATATATATATACATGTTTTTATTTATATACAGGGTGTCCAACGGATTACTGAAAGAAGACATTATTTTATTTTTAATAATAAGAATAACTGCATTCACAGTTTTAAAAAAAATCGCCTGCCACTACCTGGAATCAAACTCGTGAAATGCGTGTTTTTTTTTAATTGCACGAGTAGTAGCAGGCAATTTTAAAAAAAAACTGTGAATGCGGATCTGGTTATGATTATAAATAAAATGATGTCTTGAAAAACTTCCACGCGGACCAGGCAGCAGACGGGACTCGAACCCGCACCCTTCGCAATCCGGGCGAATGCACTGACCAATTAGATTTAAACATCAAGCAGTTACATGCTTTAAAATTATAAAAATTGTAAAATGATGTCTTCTTTCAGTAAAATATCCTATCTTCAATATTTAATATACTTTCCTTCCGTGTGACAAACCCGTGGGACGCCCTGTTTAAATATATGTGTATTGTATATATATACATTTTTTATATATGGCCACGCATAACTTTTTACAGAGTAGTCCGATTTTGATAATTCTTTTTTTATTGGAAAGGTTATACCCCGAATTAAATTTCGAAAAAAAATCACCCCTTGGAAATTAATATCACTTCTATTTTCAACCCTAAGCGTATGAAAACAGGGGTGATATTAATTTCACTATTAATAAAAAAAGGTTTATTATTTTTTACTTATCGGCGGTTTATTTTTTGACGTGACAACGTCTTAAATTAGGTTGCGGCTGGGAGTCACTTATGAAAAAGTGTAACGCTCGGTAACGTTACGATGAGTCTCTCGTGTTAAGTTTAAGTTTACATGTACAATGTTTTAGTAAACAAAATATATTTCTATAGTTAAAATTTGTGCAATTCTTATTTTCATTCAATTCCTTGTTCCTATTGTGCAATTTAATTATATTCATATCAATAAATATTCTACCGAGAAAAAGACGTTGTCACGTAAAATCTTCGCCCGTAAAACCGACTTTACAGGCAACCATTTTTTTTTATTAAAAAGTGATTTGCAACTGCTGGCCACATAATAGATAGATATTCTACCTGCATTTACTTAACAGCTAAATAGGGAATGCTCAGTTAATGACACAAAGTACGCGAGGCAAACGCTCAAAGTATTCTCTACCGAAATCATTTTTTCAGGAATTTTGCCTCGTAGAGTCCATTTACTTGCCTGAGGAACCATCATGGGTGTCCAACATGAAAAGGGCGTTGACACTAAACTTCCAACTGAAAAGAGGGGATGGATATTACACCAGCTATGAGGTGAGTCAGGGCACTTATTATATTATTTTATAAATAGGTACGATCAATGACGCCACTCCATCTGATGTTAGGTGATGATGGAGACCAGACGCGAAGTAAGCTGGTACAGCAGATCTACCTACGACACCAGTCATCCTCTCCTTGCTGACTTTCACATTGCTTCTTCACGTCTCTTTTAAAGGTTCCCGGATTAAAGGAGGGAGGAAACACCAGAGCGGACAAAGCATTACATTCCATTCACTTATAGTGCGACAAAAAATTGTGTTGGCAAAGGACATCGACGAAATCGGCCCTAGCATGCCCAAAAGAATGTCCTTCACTATTATTCTTCTATTATTTTTTTAAGTTATTAGCAATTAATCATAGTAAACGGACAATCTGTTTAAAAAAATAAAAAAAATAAAGTTTTGTTACTAGATACTAGTCTGTTTGTCCAACTTGTCTTATTTGGTAAACAATCTTGGCACTCCTTTTTATTGAAAATACAGCATTAAAAATCAACTGATAACGGGATTCAATAGGTTTCAGTCTATAATAACGATTAATTTTAATAGTTTATTGGTTTCGTTAATATTTTATTATTAAATGGGTGATTCTGTTAAAAAGTTGTGCCAAGATTGTTTAGGTACCTTAATAAATGCAATATAGGCGACCATAGGTATATATCGACATAAAAATAGAACTACTCGTAGGTTCCTTAGGTAATAATACTTATTACTAGTTTTATATTATATTTATAAAAAGATTATTTACCTGAAATAATGTAAAGATAGTTTATACTCCCATCCCATGTAATATCTGTTTATTTTTATGAAAATCATAATGATAACCAGGTACATACCTAATTACCGATAGTAAAATATAGAAACAGGTAAATGGAAAGACTTTGAACATATCATTTGAAAAGAAATATATTATTACTACAGGTAGGTATCATAGGTGCCAACTGCCAACGCTCATAAATCAATATGAATATAAGCATTTATTATTTTTATTATTAATTGCATTTAATGTTCATTTAATGCATATTATTTAAGTGCTTACATAGAGGGAAACACTAAATCTATTCAGAATATATAAAGTGTACATCTTTTACGATTAAGTATAATAATTATAACCTCAAAATCTAATACATTCTGTAGTAGGCCACGGTTCCTCAAGTTGTCCGTATCTCAACAATTGCCTAATTAGAGTTTAGGAATGATTCCGAACGCAACTAGCATTTTCTCATTGCTGTGCGTTCTAGGGCATTCAATGTATGGGGAACGAGCAATGTCCTTTCTTTTGTAAGTCGATGGCAATGTAGACCAGCGCGCATAGGTCTCTGAAGGGAAGGGGAAAGTGGGATAGCGGAGAATAACTCCTCGGAACAATCGCTGTGGTATAGATATTTTTGTGTCTAGAAAATACTTGAAACCTTTACTGCGCACCGGCAGTAGCAGCACGGTTATAAGTGAGATTCCTTCCCACTCGTTTCGCCCAGGTCCATGGCTCAGCATGGACTCGATCATGGCCACAAAAAACTACACAGACAATACTCTTGCACCGTTCACCCGACACACATTTTGAGGACCTATGTCTCCAGAATGTGTATCGAGAGTGCGGGTATACTTGTGGCGCCCCGTTATGACTAAAAAGGCACCACATAGCTGTCAGTTATTGTCCGAGTAGATGCCTCGGAGTACAGGGGGCATCTTCCTTCAAGGATCTTGTGCAATGAAAGCTGACTAGGCCAGACCTTTCTTTTTATACGCAGGTAAAAAATACTGTTTTCAGACGACGGCGCCTTTAAGAGGCACACCGCCGAACGGACCTCACACCTGGCTCCCGCAAGCCTTACGAGCTCCCGCAGTGGCTGCCCACTGAGGACCCCGTAACTCTTACGGGCGTTTTACGGCATAATATACGCTAAAAAGCCCCGCAAATACCTTCTAAGCTGCTTAGCGCGAAGCCGCGGGAGCCCCGTTTAGGGATTCTTCCGCGTCTTGACTAGGCTAGACCTGCAGGCTCCCGCGGGGAGTAAGAGAGAGAGGGTAGTTCTCTCCATCCCTAAAACAAAAAACACTGCTTCGCATGCGTAATTCACCTACGGGGCGAATTACGCCTGCGAAGCATTATTTTCCAATAACTTTTGTTTCGCCTTTTCCGCAAGCCTATCCGAAGTCCATATTGGTATGCAAAAAAGGAATATATTTTCTCTTTATTCTCAGCTCTGCGTTCACGACTACAGCTGTTTCACAACGTACCTCTCCAACGGAAACATCGTGAAGAAATACAACTCATTACCCTCGTCCCCCAAGTTGGGTAGCAGCTGGAAGAGTGTACCCTGGACAGATCCCGTGTACAAGCATAACCAGTACTTGTGGAATGCATTGGTGAGTAATTCATAAAAGTTTGACTAATATTTTTTTATGTTGAAAGGATGGCATGCCTAAACAAGCATATGGCCCGCCTGATGGTTAGCAGCCACTACAGCCTATCTACGTTTGCAAGACAATAATAAGCAAGCAATATCCAAAAGTTAACCATAAATAAATTCAAAGATAGTATAAAAAAGCACTTTTTAAACAAAGCTTATTACAAAGTGTCTGATTACAGACAAACAAAAATGCTTGGGTTTGAACTGTTCCAATCATTCCAACAGGTTTTCTATATTAAATAAGTCATGATTGTATTGACGTTATAACAATACTAGCAAACCAGTGAACCAAATGTTCACCAAAACCTGATTTAAAAAAAAATGTATTTGATTAATTGAGAACTTCGGAGATTTTGTGTGGTTTCGTTTGAAATTCGTGATTTCTCGAAAACCGGAAGTGCTACGTTACTCAAATCCGGTTTGAAGTCTTATCAGACTATTCTTAACTTATAACTTAAACATTCTCTTTATCTATCTCTTACGGTTTGGCCGCTGAAACAGCACCACAGACAGACGGACGGACTTGTCTAATAGATAAGAGATAATGATTTGTAAATGTTGTTACATTATACTTTTATTGTTGTGGAGTTTCTTTCGCTCGTTTTTCTCCGCAGCTAAAAAAAAATATGTCCAATAACGAGTGGTAGCGAAAAAAATGTTTGGACGATTCAAAAGTGTTGTACTATACATCCAATTTGATTAAAGATATATTGATTTCTGATTTCTAATATAACTCGCAATCTTGCCTACCCTGACCTAATCACCTACCCTGTGAAGCCCTGGAAACTCATCGCCAGAAACACAATACCAACTTTTATTATTATTATTATTATTATAGCCTTTTCATTCCTTAATAAATATACATGTCATTCATTTAGTACAATTCAAATATTTATATTATTTCATTTCAAACATGTCAATTAAGATTTAAAAAAAAAAATACACATTTTTTTATTTAGTAAGGACCCCTCACCGAGTAAAGGCCTCCTACATTTTACTCCATTTTTTCTATCTTTGGCCTTGGTGACCCAGTCTCTATCAGCCACGTCGATAATTTCATCTATCCATCTTTGTTTTGGTCTACCTCTATTTCTTTCGTGTCGAAGTCCTTTCCAAGTAGTCACTTTATAAGTCCATTTATTATTATTCATACGTGCAATGTGCCCAGCCCAACTCCATTTGAGTTTTTTACAGCACCACCTTAAGTGTCGCCGCACACGGGCCACCGACCACAACCGCAAAACGCCGCCACCGGCATATTTCTTGTAGTTTTCATACATTTTATATGGACTCGCCACACACGGTACGCCGGTGGCCGCCACACACTACAAATCTTCGTTGCTCGCTTCTTGTGACCCGCAACAGCCACTTAATGCGCCGATACAAAACGCCGCCACACGCCACTATTCTCCACCCCTCTCTCCCTTACCTTAGTCTGCCGCTGTCACGCGCTTCAGCCACTTTAGTAGGCGCTTCTAGCTTCCTTTGGCGGCGTTTGTGGCTGTGACGTGTGGCCCGTGTGCGGTGACACTAAGATAGCGTTATTTTACTGTAATCTTCTTAAAGATAGAGGTTACTTCCCCAGGCTCCAATATGCCATACCTCCCTTGGATTTAAATGGAGTTCTTCCAAACCTATTAATTAGAATTTCGAAATATTCTTTATCCAGCCAGACACCACAACAATGACAGCAGAGAGGACCTACAAGCTAGACAACAGGAGCGGTCTCATCAGTTTGAAGATGAGAGGCAACGTGACTTACAGAACGGAGGATCTGACACTGTTTGTGAACACAGAGTAAGACATCAACGTTACCTCATCATCAGCCTATTAATGTCCCCACTGCTGGGGCACAGACCTTCCCTATGGACGAAACAGGGAGAAGGATCATGACCCTCAATGGTGGTACTCAATAATTTGATGGTGTAAATGACTGCAGATGCAGCCGGGACCAACGGCTTACCGTGCCTACCTAAGCATGGAGGAGCTCGAAATAGTACATTTTTGGTCACCCATCCAATGACTGACCACTGCGAAAGTTGATTAACTTACACGATCGCAGCCGAACGCTCTAAACACTTGCGCCATTAAGACTCATAGTACCTATACAATACAGTATTTTCAATTTCTATTTGCTCCGTGATAAAAGCTCTTATTTCAGGCTAGACATTCAATATGAAGAGGAGTTGCAACCAGCCAGGTTGGAGTGGCCCAAACTGATCAGGTCTGGAGCCAAGCACTCGAGAGAGGAGTGCCGTGACCCTTCGTGTGGCATCAGGGAGACTAGTCAAGCGTATTTGAAGAACAAGTTCTACGACGTGAGTGAATTTGTGATAATATTTAGGCTTTGTTGTACCCCTAAGTGATAAGAGGACCTAGGCTTTTTTTTGGAAAGAAGTTCCTTTTCGGACGGAATTGCAGATGGGGGTTAGGCAAAAAACTGTCAAAAGTTCACAACCTAGAGAGGCAGTTAGCTAGGCAGCTGGGCGGGTAGCTATATGAGCAGCTAGGTGGGTGACCGCTGAAGATGGTGGTTGTGGACTTGGTTTAAAGTTTTGTTTTCTGAGGACCGATAGCGTAGCTTCTAGATGAATGTCTACTCGTCACTCATGAATATGAGTGCTTGTAACAGCCTAAACTGAATAAATGACTTTATTATGATTAATAGAGAATACTGGGTCCATTGGATCAAGCACGAAACGCGGACCAACGTTTATTGTATGTCATCATCATCAGCCTATTAATGTCCCCACTGCTGGGGCACTGGCCTTCCTTATGGATGGAATAGGGAGATTGGGCCATGACCCACCACGCGGGCAAAGTGTGGATTGTGTTGGTGTTAACGACTGCAGATGCAGCCGGGACCAACGGCTTAACGTGCCTTCCGAACCACGGAGGGGCTCGAGATAGTAAATTTTTGGTCACTCATCCAATGACCGACCACTGCGAAAGTTGCTTAACTTCAACGATCGCAGCCAGCGCGTTCGGCTAACCACTTGCGCCATTGAGCTCCTCAATTGTTGTATGTATGATGCGCCTAGTCACATAAGTTCTATTTTTTTCGAGGATTCCCACGACCTCGTCTTCTATCCGGTCTCTCAATGTCCTCGGTTGTTCGGGGGAGTTTTTGTAAGAGGTACTTTTAATTCGTCGCCTGCTTTACTAGATTCAGTTGGACGTGATCTATTTTGACCTCGTCTGCACATGCTTATATCAAACTTAAAAATCGATTAACAAGTCCACTCTTTCAGATTCTGCTAAAAATATCAAAGAAGGGCATAGACGCTGACAGTGTCGTCAAGGATCCGACGATGATACACAGCCTTGATTTCATTAACCTTATCAAGTGAGTAAAAAAACCTTTAGAATATTCCTTATTTAAAGTCCAAGTTTTTTCTTCCAGCAAACGAGTTGATACAACTGCTGCTACTTTTTACTATCTTAACCACAGCATTTTAAATAAATTATTGAACTATATTTTTTCTATATAGCTAGGATAGGCAAATTACTTTATTTGTCTTTACCCCACCTTTTTAAAGATAGTTCCGACAAATGGTCCATCCCACCTGATGTTAAGTGACGGTGAAATCCAGACGTGAAGATAGCTGGTACAGCAGTTCCACCTGCCACACCAGCCATCTTCACCTTGCCGGCCTGCATGTTACTTCTTCACGCCTCTTTTAAAGGATCCCAGGTTGAATCCCGGTGGGGGCAGATGTTTGTGTGATGTTTTTTTTAGATAGGTCTGACAAATGACTCCACCTTACCTGATGTTAAGTGAAGGTGAAGTCCAGACGTGAAGATAGCTGGTACAGCAGTTCTACCTGCCACATCAGACATTTTCACCCTGCTGGCCTACATGTTGCTTCTTTTAAAGGACCCCAGGTTGTAAGAAGGAGGGAACACGTGAGCGGGCAGAGCATTCCATTTACGGATAGTGCAACAAAGAAATGAGTCACCAAATTTCTTTGTACGCATTGGAATTGTGGACACAGACGGTGACAACGTAGGCCAGCGCGCGTGGTCCTCTGAAGGAAAGAGGGCGTAAGAAAGATAATGTCTAGACGCTGCAGCAGTTACAAACTACCACACCATCCTCACCTTGTCGGCCTGCAGAAATGCTTCTTCACGCCTCTTTTAAAGGACCCCAGATTGTAGGAAGTACGGAACACGTGCGCGGGCAAAGACTTCCACTTGCGAACGGTACGACAAAGAAATGAGTCACCAAATATCTTTGTTCGTGTAAGAATAGGCCCAAATTGTTTGCCCTATAGCAGATGGTGCATCAGGAGGAATCCCGTTCTGAACCAAAGCTGCTTATTAATTCTTAAATAAATGATAGTCCTAGTTTGGACAACTAACTAGGAATTCCCAATAATGTTCCCAATGTTTCTACCAGAAAAGCTATGAATATTTACCCAACAGATACTGTATACGCCATTTCTGCATTTGGAAAGTGTAGTTCATATGTATGAAAATAGATGGCGCTGTAGTTCTTTGCATCGCGCTAGCAAATATGTTTTGAGCTACCTATAGGCCAAATGTCACCAAAGTAATAAGAAATCTATGGTCAAAGAAATTCCACCTTGGTTTCATTTCAATTCTTTTGCTCCTAAGCTCTAGGATTTAAGTCATTTTGGCTCCAACATGGTCCTTCGAGCCAGATATGAAATTCAAAAAAAATTCAAAATTCAATATCGTTTATTCAGTCTAGGCTGTTACAAGCACTTGTGAATGTCGAAAAGCTACGCCATCGGTTCGCAAAACTACGGCGGGAGACCTTGTACTGAGAAGAACCGGCAAGAAACACAGCAAGGGCTGCTTTTTTCTCCCTGTTTTATTTCATACAGTGTCGTCCAATTGAAAGTTGACATCAAACTTGCAAACATGTGTTGAGGTCAACTTCCATCACATAATGTCAAATATGTAACAATCAATGAATTTACTAACAATAAGTGCAAAGATAAGTCCCAAAATAGCAAGAAACAATTTTCAAAATAAAATGAACAAGTATATGAAAGGGAGTAAGTGCAAGGTTCTCTTCAAAACTCTTTCTATAGCTGGGAGCCTTAGTTTTAATATAACTTTTGAAAAATTATCTACAAGTAAAATTACAACCAGGCCGTTTTGTCATTCAAATATTGATTGACAGTATAATATCCTTTCTTAAGTAAACAATTCTTAATGTGTATTTTAAATTTATGAGGAGGCAAATCAAGGATATCAATAGGAATCTTATTATAGAAATGTATACCTTGACCCATAAATGATTTATGAACCTTCTGTAACCTGTAATTTGGTATCTTGAGTTTATTTTTATTCCTTGTATTAAAAGAATGTATGTCACTGTATTTTAGATAATAGTTAATATTGCTTCGAACAAAAAGTATGCAATTATAAATGAATTGAGAAGCAACAGTCAAAATCCCGATTTCTTTAAATTTTTCTCTAAGAGATGTTTTAGAACTAAGTTGATAAATAGCCCTTATAGCTCTTTTTTGCAAGATAAATATAGTTTCAATATCGGCTGCTGATCCCCAGAGAATAATACCATAGGATACAATACTATGAAAGTAACTAAAGTATACAGTTCTAGCAGTAGCTACATCAGTAAGTTGTCTTATTTTACGTATGGCATAGGCTGCTGAACTAAGTTTACCAGCTAGCAGAGAAATATGAGGATACCATTGCAATTTCGAGTCTATGGTTATACCTAAGAATATCGTTGACTCAACTAAATCTAGGTTTTCATTGTTTAGTTTAATTCTAATGGTTTCGCTTCTAACATTAGGTAAAGTGAATTTAATGCATTTGGTTTTATTTGCATTTAATTTTAAGTTATTTACATTAAACCAGTGCAATACTTGTGAGAGAGCATTATTTACATCGTCAAAGTTATTCTTGTATCGGTCAACCTTAAATAATAAAGAAGTATCATCAGCAAACAATACGATCTCACACAATTTTTCCACAAAAAATGGCAAATCGTTTATGTACAATAAAAATAGAAACGGACCTAAAATCGGTCCCTGGGGAACGCCCATTTTCACATAAGATCCAGATGACTTAACACCATTTACCTCTACAGTTTGAACTCTGGAACTGAGATACGATAGTAGCAAGTTTTGGGCTGCGCCTTTGATTCCATAGTGATTTAATTTTAACATCAGCGTCTGGTGCTCAACGCAGTCAAACGCCTTGGATAAGTCACAGAATACCCCAAGAACATTCTGCGACTTCTCCCAGGCTTCCATTATATGTCTTATAAGTGCAACACCCGCATCCGTTGTTGATCTACCCCTAGTAAAGCCAAATTGATTATTATGTAACAGTTTGTTCAAACTGACATACGATAATAATTGATCTAAAATATTTTTTTCGAAAATTTTACTTAATACCGGTAATATTGATATAGGTCTGTAATTACCGGGATCATCTCTTATGCCGTTTTTGAAGAGAGGGATAACTTTACTATATTTCATAAGGTCTGGAAAATCACCTTGATCAATACACTTATTGAATATATCTGCAAGATAAAGAGCGATAACTGTTATTATACTTTTAGTAATTTTAATAGACATTCCAAACAAATCACACGTATTTTTCTTTTTAAGTGAGTTAAAGCATTTTATAATATCCATAAAATCAACATGTTTAAACGTAAACAGGTTATTACACCGAGGCACACACGTCTCTAGCAAACTCTTAGCACCCGCTGGCGTCGAATTCAAATTAGAAGTAGTAATTAATGGTATATTAACGAAATATTCATTAAAAGTATTGGCAATCTGTTCTTTTGTTTTAATTTGAATATTATCTACTTTAAGTGAGATCCCATCATCGAGGGTTCTTTCTTTACCAGTTTCTCTATTAATAACATTCCATGTCGTTTTAATTTTATTATTAGATTTTATGATTTTATTTTTTATGTAATTGGATTTGGCTGTTGCACATACACTTTTGAATGTTTTTGAGTACCTTTTAACATAATCAATGAAACCCTGAGAGTGATTGTACTTCCTTAAGTAGTACAAATCATAAAGTTTATTTCTGCTCTTATAAATACCAGACGTAGCCCAGTCACAGAAGTTCAACTTTTGAGTTAATTTCAAAGTTTTAAGCGGAATGAACCAGCGAACTATGGATTTTCATACATATCAACTACAATTTCCAAATGCACGAATGGCGTATACAGATACGATGAGCAAATAATCCCAAGGATCACTTTATTTCTGGTAATTGTTTAAAATCTACTTTTTATTTTATGACAAATTAACCGATATTTCACTTCAACAGTACTATGTCTCAACTTAACTACACTACGCTGAGGGTGTTATTCGAAGACCTGGTACTTGGCACCAGTTACGAACTGGAAACTTCTAGAAACATCTTCTTGGAAGTTCTGCCGTTCGCTGGGACTGACGCTACAGTTAGATTCGTCAAATATTTGGTGCTAGAAGAGAAGGTAATTATTATTTTAAATGAATTACTAGTAAATCTTCCATTATTACATTAAAGCAACATTTCATTCATTTATTTCATCCATCCATTCATTCATCATCATCGGCCTATTAATGTCTTCACTGCTGTGGCACAGGTCTTTCCTACGGATAGAATAGGAAGATTGAGCCGTAACCCACCACGCGGGCCCAGTGCGGTGATTGCTGTGTGCTAACAACTGCAGATGCATGATAATGCATCCAGGATCAATGACTTAACGTGCCTTCCGAAGCATGAAAGAGCTCAAAATAGTATATTTTGCAACCCATCCTATTATCAGCCATTGTAAAAGTAGCTCAACTTATATGATCGCACGCTTTTACGCCGTCGAGCTCCTCAGCTATTTAGGCGAGCCCCTCAGGTTCGAGATGTCTAGAGGCTCCAAACGGAGGGGAGACACCACCCGTGGGGAGATACCTTCCGCCTGGAATACCTTTAGAGGCACTCGCCAATACTCGACTTGAGGTCCCCTCTAGTTGAGCCGACCCCCTCAGGTTCTAGTAGTGTAGAGACTCCAGACGGGGAGGGGACTCCCCCCAAGGGGAGATGCCATCCGCCTGGAATACCTCTAGAGGCACTCGCCAATACTCGGCTTGAGGTCCCCGTCGGATCTCGCCGTCTCCAAACCCGGTGACACTGTAAAGGTCATCTGCGACCAACAGCATACACACTCAAAAAACAAATGTAGGCGAAGGTTACACAAAATAGTCATAAGACGCAGACGGAGCATCGACATTATCAGTTTCATACAAAATGTAAAAAACAAAAGAAGCGTTGTTACCGTGCAACCTCTTTTCTTTATGTTTTGCGACGCGATGCTTCTATACATATTGTATGAAAAGGACGCGGAAGAGACATGATATCTCCCGTCTGCGTCTTACGTCTTCTCTGTAAGCCCCGCGTCTCAGTATATGAGGAGCTCGATGGCGCAAGTGCTTAGCTTTTTTTGTGTGTATATGCTCCTGGTCGCAGATGACCTTTACAGCGCCACTGGTTTAGGGGACAACGAGATCCTAAGGGTACCTCCAGCCAAGAATTGGCGAGTTCCTGTAGAGGTATTCCAGGCAGATGGCATCTCCCCACTGGGGGAGTCTCCTCTCCATCTGGAGCCTCTACCCCACTGGAACCTGAGGGGGTCGGCTCAACAAGAGGGCGTCTCTGAGACAGAGACCTCGGCTCTAGTTATCCGCGGCTTTATCGAAGTAAAGTCCTTAGAGCTTTCGGCCTTACGGAATAATCCTGCAGATAAATTGAAGATTGTTCATTTTATTGTGGTCATTTTCACAGGAAAAAGTTGAGGATTCAGCCCTCTTGGCACTAATCAGGAAGTTACCCTTCAATACGGCCAATTATAGTCAAGACTTGCTGCAGGAGTTGGAGCCGTTCACAAAATTAGGTAAACTCTTGTATTAGTATTAAAATTCAATATAGTACCCTTCAGCCGTTTTCGCAACCATTTTTTAATTCTCATCAGAAAAATATTTCTTTTTCCGAAACCGGTTGCCAAATATGTTTTTTTTGTTTTCGAAACCGGTTTCAAAAGAAAAATTGTAATTATGTTCTCGAAACTGATTTCGAAAAATGGTTTCGTAAACGGGCGAAGCGAGTTCGCTTCGAGTTTGCCGCTCACACCCCTCCCCGTCACACTTCACCGCGCTCCTAGACAGACCTTATTAGTTTTGTGAATGTTAACAACTACGCCATCGGTTCGCAAATCTACGTCAGGAGATCTTGTGCTGAGAAGAACCGGCAAGAAACTCAACAAGGGCAGATTTCTCCCTGTATTATTGTTAGATACAGAGTCAATACTTGGAGAAAAACTTGTAAATCTAACTCAAGGGACAACCTTTCTTCTTTCAACATTTTAATAAAGGCTTTTTTTTAAAAACAGGATGATTTCTTTACTGTTAATTTGTTTGTAGCTTGCAGGATAACTTTACTAAATTGAAATCTTGTCTAGGTCTAGACTTTCCCCAAGAGATCAGACACGCCGCCATCTTGAGTTTCGGGACTATGTTGTACCAGGCGAAGAGAACAGAAAGAGTCGGCGCCGATTATTTTGACAACATGGTGGTGAAGTACTTGAGGATGTACAGCGGTAAGTTATAACATGGAAACAATTGTTATCTTGGCATCTCTTATCTATTAGACAAGTCCGTCCGTCCGTCCGTCTGTCTGTGGTGCTGTTTCAGCGACCAAACCGTAAGAGATAGATAAAGAGAATATTTAAGTTATAAGTTAAGAATAGTCTGATAAGACTACAAACCGGATTTGAGTAACGTAGCACTTCCGGTTTTCGAGAAATCACGAATTTCAAACGAAACCACACAAAATCTCCGAAGTTCTCAATTAATTAAATACATTTTTTTTTGGTGACCATTTGGTTCACTGGTTTGCTAGTAAATGAATACTAATAGATGATTTCGATGAACCCAAAGATTTTATAAGAGCCCAAAGGGAAGATTTGCCTCCAGGCTGGGTAACTTCGGAATTTAGTTTGACATTTAAACGACACTTTCTAAGTGTCACGGGCCACACGCCACAGCCACAAACGCCGCCACGTGAAGCTAGAAGCGGCTACTAAAGTGGCTGAAGCGCGCGACAGCGGCCGACTAAGGTAAGGGAGAGAAGGGTGGGGAATCGCGCGAGTGACGTGTGGTGGCGTTTTGTATCGGCGCATTAAGTGGCCGGTGCGGGCCACAAGAAGCGAGCAACGACGATTTGTAGCGTGTGGCGGCCACTGGCGTATCGTGTGTGGCGAGTCCATATAAAATGTATGAAAACTACAAGAAATATGCCGGTGGCGGCGTTTTGTGGTTGTGGTCGGTGGCCCGTGTACGGTGGTAACAATCCCGTTAATAGCTATAATGTTAGTGACCATGAAAGTTTAAAATTTTGTAAGGGCCCAAAGGGAAGATCTGCCTCCAGGCTGGAAGACCTCGGAATTTAGTTTGACATTTAAATGACACTTTGTAAGTCATTAGATGAACATAAGAAAAAATCTGCGCGACTAGTTCAAGACCATTCTTCATTTGAGGACAAAATTAAAAGATTGCTTGGAAAAATATTTATATGCCCACACACGGATTCCCTTATTTTTACAACCCACCCTGGGTTGTGGGAAAAGAGGAACTTCAAAAGAGGCGTGAAAAAGCAACTTACAGGCCGGCAAACTGAGGATAACTGGTGTGGCATGTAAAACGACACCAGATATCTTCGCGTCTGGACTCCACCGTCACTAATTAACATCAGGCGGATTGGAGTCATTTGAACCTACACAAAAAATGGAACTCATAAATCTCCCAGCAATCAAAATGTTGATGAACAGGTGTCTTGGTAACGACTTAGTGTCGCTACACAACCACCGACCACAACGACAAAACGCCGCCACCGGCGTATTTCTTGTAGTTTTCATACATTTTATATGGACTCGCCACACACGGTACGCCGGTGGCCGCCACACGCTACAAATCGTCGTTTGCTCGCTTCTTGTGGCCCGCACTGGCCACTTAATGCACCGATACAAAACGCCGCCACACCCACCCCTCTCTCCCTTACCTTAGTCGGCCGCTGTCGCGCGCTTCAGCCACTTTAGTAGCCGCTTCTAGCTTCTCGTGGCCGCGTTTTTGGCTGTGGCATGTGGTCCGTGTGCAGCGACACTTATTTTTACAACCCACCCAGGGTTGTGGGAAAAGAGGAACTTCAAAAGAGGCGTGAAGAAGCAACTTACAGGCCGGCAAACTGAGGATAACTGGTATGGCATGTAAAACTGTACCAGATATCTACGCGTCTGGACTCCACCGTCACTAATTAATGTCAGGCGGAGTGGAGTCATTTGTTTGAACCTACACAAAAATTGGAATTCATAAATTTCACAGCAAGCAAAATGTTGATGAACAAGTGTTTTGGTAACGACATAATGTAAATTTCCGTAAAATTCTATATTTCGCCCATTCTTCTTATCAGCTAAAAGATGTCTTGTATCATCATCATCATCAGCCTATTAATGTCCCCATGCTGGGGCACAGGCCTTCCCTATGGATGGAATAGGGAGATTGGACCCGCCACGCGGGCCCAGTGTGGATTGGTGGGTGCTAACGACTGCAGATGCAGCCGGTACCAACGGCTTAATGTGCCTTCCGAAGCACGGGGGAGCTCGAGATAGTAAATTTTGGTAACCCATCCAATGCGAAAGTTGCTTAACTTCAACGATTTCACTTGCGTGAGTTCATTTAATTTCCAGATTGTCCACACTACATGGATCGTTTGGTCTGGCTCCAAGGGCTATGCAACATAGGATATTCTACACAGAAGTACACCATGGAAATTTACACGGACACGAGTAAGAAGAGAAACGAGCGTTTATGGGCTGCCTTCGCGTCTAATTACATCGACAATCAGTACTACACTGACGAACCTTTGAAGGTCAGTAAAAATAAATGCAATAATCATAATCAAAATCATTTATTCAGTTTAGGCTGTTACAAGCACATATGAATGTCTAGAAGCTACGCCATCGGTTCGTAAATCTACGGCGGGAGACCTTGTACTAAGAAGAACCGGCAAGAAACTCAGCAAGGGCTGTTTTTTTCTCCCTGTTTTATCATTTACAGAGTCGTCAAGTTGAAAAATGACTTCAGAGATGATTCATGAAGTCACCTTTCATTACATAATGTGAAATTATACATTAATTGTTCACCTGCATTTTGATTGCTGTGTCACACAGTATAAATACAAACAGAGTTATTTATAAAGGTGTAATTAAACATTTACATTTTAAATATCAAAGTAGTTAAGGGCAGACTCATCTCCGCTGGCAGCACCCGTTCACAAGCATGACGCATGAACCAGCCATCGCTTCGCTCAACCATATTTTAGGGAACGTAACGACCCGCCTCACACGACATATATAATATATTGTTATGTGTCGGAATGGGGTTCGAAATTATATGCCAGTTCACGCTTGACAGTTCCTTATTCACCACATAGTTCACAGTTATTTCCTAAACAACGATTCTTCATATTACACTATACAAGTCTTTAAACAATCGCACTTGAACACTTTACTTGAACTTTGATCGCCTTTGTATTCGTTCCGAAATCACTGTCGAAACTCAAATAACTCCTGCCTGCGCAGCTATATTTGCCATTCGACGCATTCTAGAAAAGTTCAGTTTTATTGAGAGTTAACTAGCATCCGCGAATGCGTAGTACCTACTTATACGTAGGTAATGAAATGAAATGAAATGAAATGAAATGAAAGGAAATGAAACGAAATGAAACGAAATGAAACGAAATGAAACGAAATGAAACGAAATGAAACGAAATGAAACGAAATGAAACGAAATGAAACGAAATGAAACGAAATGAAACGAAATGAAACGAAATGAAACGAAATGAAACGAAATGAAACGAAATGAAACGAAATGAAACGAAATGAAACGAAATGAAACGAAATGAAACGAAATGAAACGAAATGAAACGAAATGAAACGAAATGAAACGAAATGAAACGAAATGAAACGAAATGAAACGAAATGAAACGAAATGAAACGAAATGAAACGAAATGAAACGAAATGAAACGAAATGAAACGAAATGAAACGAAATGAAACGAAATGAAACGAAATGAAACGAAATGAAACGAAATGAAACGAAATGAAACGAAATGAAATGAAATGACATTTATTCATTTTCTAGGCTGTTACAAGCACTTGTGAAGGTCAAGAACACAACGTGTTTTAGTTACTTACAAGTGCTAATTACATATGGACTAATAACTTAAATTCAGTAGTGATTTTAATTGAATATTTTGAATATTTATTTAATTTTTCAAATTAAAACTGAACTTAATTGACTGTGTTAACTATCCTTTTCCAGTCCTCTTATTATTTTATTGTAATTATTAATTATTTGCATGCAATTAAAAAATATTTTAATGATGCTAAAGAAGTATAACTTCTCACGCGCGTACATAAGTTACACGCATCCATTTTTTTTTTTAAAAAACACTCATGCTTGTGTTATAGGATACTAGGGTAACGGATAGAATACATATAGTGTACATAATATATTTATATAAGTATATTTATATAGAAATATATATTAAAGATCTATGACTGGAGTACAAATGCTCGTATTCATCACACAAACATCTGCTCCCACCGGGATTCGAACCCGGGACCTCTCGAGTCGGTGACACCATGAAACCTGGCGTACAAGCCACTCGGCCAAGGAGGTCGTCAACCAAGGAGAGTCTCTAGAGTTCAATCACGCAAATTGTCTAAGATACAATGATAAAATTCTCTGTAATTAAGTGAAAAAATCCTTGGGGTCACCGCGCAACTTGTGTACAGTCGTCCAATTTTATTTTTTTAAATGTGAAACTTCTTTACGCACGCTTGACTTAAGGAGAAAGCTGGCGAACGCGTCACGAAAAGTGTGATCGGGTGAGGCGAACGGGAGTTGATTGGGGGATTTAAGCAAGAGAAAGCAGTGCGCGTGCACATTTTCTTTCTTTCTTTCTTTCCTTTATAGCTAGAAAATGAAATATGTATATCTACATACTCGTAAATGTATATATTAGTACATACAATACATATTGTACGAGACGACCGCCTTACGATAGAAACGACAAGACATAGCGAGAAATAAAGTATTGCGGGGGTGAGGTAATGGATCGCTGGCCAGCTCAATGCGTATAAAAATGGAGTCGGAACAGGCTCCGACATGGCATTCAGTGACAGGTCGTAGAGAAATAAAAACTTCTACGAAAATTTGTCCGAAATGTTCTTTTGAATCGGTCTATTATTGATTTTTCCTGGCAATTATTCGTAATTCCGATGAAATTTAGGCCTAATGTAGGTAAAGAGGTCAAGGTCATTTGCTCGGCGAACCGCCTTAGGGCATGCTCATATGACACGCGGGTGGCCGGGGGCGCTGCGCGGTTATGACATGCGCCTTTAGTTAATTAAAAGGAATTTTAATGTTGTATCCTTGTTATTAAATAAAAATAAAGAATGTGCTTATGACCACACACACATGTATATATACCTATATATATATATATATACTAGCAAACCAGTGAACGAAATGTTCACCAAAACCTGATTTAAAAAATGTAGGTATTTAATTAATTGAGAACTTCGGAGATTTTGTGTGGTCTCGTTTGAAATTATTTAGTTAAAAAAAAATATATATAAAAAAAAACCTTTAAATAGTTAATTAAAATTGTGATAATTACAAAATAGAAATCATGTGATTTCTCGAAAACCGGAAGTGCTGCGTTACTCAAATCCGGTTTGTAGTCTTATCAGACTATTCTTAACTTATAACTTAAACATTCTCTTTATCTATCTCTTACGGTTTGGCCGCTGAAACAGTACCACAGACGGACGGACGGACGGACTTGTCTAATAGATAAGAGATGTACGGCACGTCGTGCTGTAGCAGTAGCTGGCAGATACCGACTCGTACTTTGGGGGTGGAGGAAAATACACGCAGGAGTCTTGACGGCGATAGTGGACTGTAGCTTCGGTGAAATAAAACTCCCAGTGTTTGGTATTGAAGAAATCAGTGGGCGCTGGTAATGGATGGCCGGTGAGAGGAGTCTTCAGGTCCAGAGTGAACCGCTTGTTTCTTCCTGTTCCTTTAGGCGTTGAGCAGACGACGGGGCGGGGCGGGCATTTTGTCCGCGAAGCAATAAAGACCGCGTCTGCCCGCCGATGTCTGCGACTGCCCGCGCCCCGTACACAAAGCACACGACGGGCAGAGGCGGTCAGTTTAGGACGTTCGTTCTAGTGAATAGTCCATCACTAATAAGCGCGTGGCGCGGACTGAGCTGACCGCCCCGCGCCGCCGTCTGCGTTACTGCATATAAACTGGTTTGTATGATCCACGGCGGGCAGCCGCGGACATTTCGCGCCGCCACTGCCCGCCGGGCACCTGCGGCGCGGTCTTTTTGCCCTCTGTGCAGTGTTGCTAGGTCCAATTTTTAAAAATCGGGAGGCGTTATAGAAAAAAACAGTAGATGTATGGAAGGAGCTACAAGAAAAACAGTAGATGCTGAGGCGTATTTTTTGTTCCCCCCCCCCCCCCCCCCCCCCCCCTAGAATTGGTAAATCAAATCAAGATAAACTTAAGACCAGTAACGACAACGACTATGTTTCTGTGGCTTCTGCCGCCCCATAAAGCTAGTTTTTTTTAAACAATAACATTTATTTTAAAATTAATAAGTTTACGTTTATTATTAATGGCCGAAAATGCAACTCCACATGCAATTTAAAAAAGAAAATCGTATTTTAAGAAAAACAGGAGATTCATGTTGAAAAACAGTAGAACAGGAGAACTTTCAGAAAAACAGGAGATCTCCTGTAAAATCTGGAGACCTGGCAACACTGCCTCTGTGTGCGTTTGAAGTATAGGATTCACTTTGTGCTATTATTCGCGGCGAAATTGACCGGCCCGCCCCTCCCCGTCGTCTGCTAAACGCCTTAGGGTAGGAGCGCCTGTCGCTGAATGGCATGTCGGAGCCTGTTCCGACTCGATTTTTATACGCATTGAGCTGGCCAGCGATCCATTACCTCACCCCCGCAATACTTTATTTCTCGCTATGTCTTGTTGTTTCTATCGTAAGGCGGTCGTCTCGTACAATATGTATTGTATCTACTAATATATACATTTACGAGTATGTAGATAGACATATTTAATTTTCTAGCTATAAAGGAAAGAAAGAAAGAAAATGTGCACGCGCCCTGCTTTCTCTTGCTTAAATCCCCCAATCAACTCCCGTTCGCATCGCCCGATCACACTTTTCGTGACGCGTTCGCCAGCTTTCTCCCTAAGTCCGTAAAGAAGTTTCACATTTGAAAAAATAAAATTGGACGACTGGACACAAGTTGCGCGGTGACCCCAAGGATTTTTTTCACTTAATTACAGAGAATTTAATCATTGTGTCTTAGACAATTTGCGTAATTGAACTCTAGTTGCGCGGTGGCCGCAAGAATTTTTTCGCGCCGTCTAACTGTGGCCTTAGAAAGAGCATTCCGTTCATGCCGATTTAGAGAAATTTCTTTCATCTTGCAAAGTCTGCAGTGGCATTCGCCATTGTTTTGTCCAGACTAATGAAAACTGCCCTGATAAACATCTTATTTAGTTTTCGTATTCTGTCATTTGAAATTAAATGATGAATTACAAATTTCGAATACCATCGTAATGTAGCTTTTATTAATTTTTTCATTCACTATTTGATTGATGGTACCTTTATTAAGTATCATGAAAATATTATTTAAAGCGACTGAAATATTTTATTAAATACCACTAAGCCTCTTTCTCAAATCAGGCGCGGTCGCAGCCTGAAAGGAAAATGTTAAAATTGGCCTAAGAACCAACACCAATTTGGCATTTATGATAATTCTTAGTATATTTTTTGCGATAATTATCAGTATTTAGATTGCGACGGACACTTCCAGTTGAGTAAGCTGTTAGCAATAGCCCGATCCAAGTTTTATTTCATTTTATGCAATTTTCGCTGAAAAATCGGCATTCAAAGTTAGTAATTCAGTAAGAGTTAGGATATATCGAAGGTCTATCGACCTCCCATAGCACCAGATAAAAGTGTGGCTAATTTAATCCCGCAGCTAACGTGTTAAAATCGCACCGAATAAAATTAATTAGTTGTAATATTAATTCACTTCATACTGAGTTTATACTAAATTCATAGGTTGACCTATGTTTCATTGAATATTAAAGATAACCTCAAAAAAAAATAGTTTTCCTAATAATTTAAGTTCTTAGAAGTGTCCGTCAATAATCTTTGTTTTTACAGTCATTTACTTACGATTTCGAACCTAGAAAATAATATTTCATGATTGTTGGTTCTTAGGGTAACTATGTATGGACGCTGAACAATGTCCTTTTGGAGGGGGTCAGTCACTACACTAATAAAAAATAGGTACCTATCTGGAATAAATTAAACATTATTGCACAAGACACAATTTAGTTTATACATTACTTATAAAACTAGCAAACCAGTAAACCAAATGTTCACCAAAAAAAAAAAGTATTTAATTAATTGAGAACTTCGGAGATTTTGTGTGGTTTCGTTTGAAAAAGAAATCACGTGATTTCTCGAAAACCGGAAGTGCTACGTTACTCACATCCGGTTTGTAGTCTTATCAGACTATTCTTAACTTATAACTTAAACATTCTCTATATCTATCTCTTACGGTTTGGCCGCTGAAACAGCACCACGGACGGACGGACGGACTTGTCTAATAGATAAGAGATATTGTTATACAATCTTTATCATAACGACGCATATCGATTTTGCTAGGATTACCAAAACTACGTAGTTCGGTTCCTTGTTTCTAAACTAGTACTAGACGTCATTTCTCAGTTATTTTGGCCATCGTACGTAGTTCATAAAAACACCAATAAATGGCAACAAATTATAAATTTACCGCTGTTAGTGGATAGCTCGGGAGGAGCTCGATGGCGCAACTGGTTAGCGCGTTCGGCTGCGATCGTTGAAGCTAAGCAACTTTCGCAGTGGTCGGTCATTGGATGGGTGACCAAAAATTTCCTATCTCGAGCTCCTCCGTGCTTCGGAAGACACGTTAAGCCGTTGGTCCCGGCTGCATCTGCAGTCGTTAGCACCCACCAATTCGCACTGGGCCCGCGCGGTGGGTCATGCCCAATGTCCCTATTCTATCCATAGGGAAGGCCTGTGCCCCAGCAATGGGGACATTAATAGGCTGATGACGATGATGATGATCGGATAGCTAGAAATTTCCTTTTATTATTTGGCAAATTTTTGAGATTTTTCAATTTGACCTTAGATTTTGGGGGGGTCATGTCCCCTGTGACCCCCCCCCCCATTCGGACCGCGCCTATCTGAAATAGGGGTGACCCATTGAGGCGGCCCTGAATTTACTGCTGGCACTCGCAAATAAATAATAAACAAGATCAAATATAAACTTTCCCCGCCTCAGCTTTAACATAATATTAATTATTTTGCGTCTGCATTGTTTTTAAATTCATGTTCTCTATCTATAGCATCATTTGAAAATGTCTAGAGATTACTTTCTGCTTTTCTGTGAAAATAATTAAATAATAATTAATTGAATTTTCGCACCATATCAACTTTACTTTAAGGAGAGGAAATTGCCCTGGAGTAAAACTAGGCACAATGATATACCTAAGACCGACTGTGTCAAGTATCTGGGTTTCCATCTGGACAAGAGGTTAACTTGGAAAACACACATCAAACAGAAGCGTGACCAAATAAACATAAAGTTTAAAAACCTTTATTGGCTGATGAGACGGAATTTAGTTCTGACAGTGGACAACAAATTGCTTCTTTACAATTCTATATTAAAACCTGTATCATCATCATCAACAGCACGCCACTCAGATCGATCTTGGGCTACTCGCATGGTAGGACGCACTGATTGAAGACTTTCGTCTTTAGGCACTGTGGGATCGACGATGTCAGGACTTGACGTAGCTTCCCAAACGCTGTTCAACCTAGCTGAACTCTTCTATTCACCTCGTCCTCAAAGTTGTTTCTACCTAACTGCAATGTCTGCAATGTCTATACATATTTTTGAACAACTTCGAGAACGGCACCGTCTATTGCAATCGGTTCCGGTAGAACATGTTCATTGAACATGACCTTGGTTTTATCCAAGTTCATCCGTAGGCCGATGCGTATAGAAGAGTCAGCCAGGTCATTCAGCATCTGTTGTAGGTCCTGCAGGGTTTCTGCCATGATGACGATGTCGTCTGCAAATTGCAAGTGAGAGATTCGTTCGCCATTTATGTTGATGCCATGTCGTTTCCAGTTCAGCGTCTTGAACATATCCTCCATTGCATTAGTGAACAATTTCGGGGAAATAACATCCCCTTGTCGCACTCCACGATGCAACGGTATGGGACTTGTTTGCTGATTCTGTACTTGAAGAGACATGGTGGCGGCTTCGTAGAGACATCTTATCACTTGGATGTATCGCCAGTCGACTTGGCAACGGTGCAGGGACTCCAGGACAGACCAGATTTCAATCGAGTCAAAGGCCTTCTCATAGTCCACAAATGCTAGGCACAGGGGTTGATTGTACTCCTCAGTCTTCTGTATAATCTGCCGCACTGTGTGGATGTGGTCTATGGTGCCGTATCCGTTCCGATACCCAGCCTGTTCCGGTGGTTGGAAGTCATCAAATCTTCGCACAAGACGGTTCGCGAACACTCTTGAGAACAGCTTATAGACGTGGCTTAGAAGGGATATGGGTCGATAGTTCTTAAGTAGGGTCTTGTCACCTTTTTTAAAGAACAAGACGACCACGCCTCCGGAAGGACTGCCGGCTTTGAAGCAACAACTTACTGTGGTCAACTTCGTCAGATGGCTTGACGATGACTTTGGACCCTCGATTCTGCTCGATCGCTCTCTCGATCGAGAGAGTATTGGAGCATCGGAGGTCGTGTCGTACGTGCTTACTGATCTCTTGGTTTAGAGTCCGCTTTGCCGACGAAGTGACGGGTGGGTTTTTACGTCGTTCCTTCATTAGCCCTAAAGTCCGAAAGCTTTGACTTCCTGCCCTTACGCTGCGTTGCACATAGTCTCGTACCCTCTTCCCTGAGAATCCAAACCACATTTTCGAGGTTTTGGTTTACGTCTGATGTGGTTTCCACGGCAGCAAATCGGTTCTCCAGATTTGACTGGAACGTTTCAGATCCTGTTATAGATTGGAGCAAAGTAGGTTGGAGCCTGAATTTCATCAAACGGACGCGCTCGACCTTAAAGTTGATTTTCAGAGAGCCCCGGACGAGTCGGTGATCACTACCGGTATTGAACCTGTTGATCACGGAGACGTCTCTGAATATGTACCTCTTGTCCGTCATGATGAAATCGATCTCATTTTTACCTTGTGGCTTGTGTTTCTTGTGCATTAAGGTTTTGCCCATAATCGCCACGCTGGGCAGGCGGGTTGGCGATCGCAGAGCATAGGTTTATTTACTGATGACGCTGCTGCCCGTCACCAGTGAGATTTTCCTCCCCTACATCGTTGGATGGTTATACCGCCATCGGTCGGTTCGCCAGTGCCTCGTCTGTTGGTCAACAGGGTGCACCACGTGAATGTGTGGTTGACTTGGGTTCTTGGAGGTGTATTTAGAACCCCTTACAACCTGTATGGATTTACGGTATTCAATTATGGGGAGCGGCCAGTAACAGCAACATAATGTGCCTTCAAAGAGCTCAAAACGGAATTCTTCGAAACATAGAAACGCACCATGGTTCTCACGAAACAGCGAAATCCATGAGTACCTAAATATTCCCACTATAATAGAAGAAATACAAGGCTGCAAGGAAAGATACTTCCAACGACTAACCATGCACCCAAACCCACTGGCCAACGAGTTGCTAGAAACGTCGAATATAACTAACAGACTCAGAAGACGTAATGTTGTTTAGCTGGGAAGCTGAGGCACTGACCTCTGTTCTCTTAAAGTCATTCCGCATGCAACAAAATTGATAAAAGTCTCTGAGGACTGATGGCAATTAAGATTGATAAAAAAAAATGAAAATAGAAATTCATGGTTTCGCTGACTCGAGAGGACCCTTGAATCTCGGTGGGGGCAGATGTTTTTTTTTAGATGGCACGTTACACGAATACAAGCATTTGTACTCCAGTCATGGATTTTTAATATGTATTTCAAGATAAATATATTTATATATGTACAAAAACTCTTTTAACTCTTTATGGCTCATTTTACGATAAAATAAATAAATAGTTGTATAATAAATTGAAATAAAGAATTTTTTTTCTTTAATTTATGTAGTAACCTTTTTTTGTTGATTCAATAGTGTTAGCGTACGAGAGCCGCAAAGTCCACTCCAACACGCGTTTTGACCAAATGACTCTTTTCCACACTACCATGAGGCAGAGGTTTGCGGTTCTTGGTTTCAAAGAGAAAATTCTAAAAGAGCACGTCTTAATCTATAAAATCAGCAATTTTCAAAACTCCCGGAAAGCTTTCCAGGTTACCCTTTTGAGTACCAAATGACTGTGCTTAAGACTTACGGTGCTTATTTCGAAGATTAACCGGTGTGTTTAAAAAAAAACATTATTACAGGCGATCGAGCTGCTTCTACCAGTACTCACTAACGAGACGGAAGATGGCCAGATAAGGATGGCTGCTCTACACACATTCTTGACAGCGACCACCATCACCCAAAACGACTTTATCTTCGTCCATAATTACGTCAAGAACTCAGGGAACAAAGCCTTGAAGAGGTTCTGGTACACAGCCATTAAGAGTCTTGAAGAGAACAGGAACTTTGATGGTTATAAGCTTGCGTGAGTATAAATTATTTTTAAGCATTCGCAGAGACGATACTAAACAAATAGCACAACACTCTGCGATCGTGGAAGTGAAGCAAATTTCGCAATGGCCAGTCATAGGATGGGTGACCAAGATTTTTTTCTCTGTACCATTGAAACAATAACACTAAGTCAATAAAAAATGAAACATTTGTTGGAAGGCCAAAGGGGAAGATCTTCCTCCGAGATGGGTGGTGGTAGCTCGGGGGCCGCGGCCCGACTGATGTTGGTCGGGCATCGTATATATGAAGAGTTAGCCTCCGAATTTCATTTGCGCGATGTAGGCTTCCATACTAATATTGATCGCAGTGCAGGTAACGCCATCTCTTGAGGATGGTGAGTAATGATTTCCTACATCCGTTGTATATCTGTGGGGCATATAGATGTCGCCGCCACACATTTAAATATCAGATTTATTATGAATTTAATTCTATTGTGATCACCTCAGCACATAAGGCAATACGGAAGGGAGTAGCCATAGCGACATCTATTCAAATAATATTGTCATTTGGGGGGGGGGGGGGGGGGACTGTAATCACGATACTCACACATTAGTAGTTACATAGTTTGTATGGCCAATTCGACAAAGGGGAAAGCTGTGTATGCCTACTCCCCTCCTGGCTACGTCAACCGTGTTGCTCTATGCCTAAGCAGCAATAAAAATTCCCATCATGAGAAGAGTTCAACTGTCCACCTATTCCAGTTCATAGGATGCCAAAAGACGGAGTGGTGGCATTACGCCAGGATTCCGTTATCATTCTTTGGCAAATACACCACGTGCGCTAAAAACGTGTCCCTATCAAGAAGTGCTTATACACGACTCAAGCACTTCTTGGTTCACAGTCACACGGACTGTTGAAAAGTCAACAGGCCGCTGAGCTCCGTGAAAAAATGCGAAATAAATACTTATAGTATGTAAAATGACGTTTTTTCGACAGGTAATCTAATCAATGTTTGTTAATTTAACGCATTTGAAGCATATTTTGTTTAAATACTTACTATAAACTGATTTAATAAAAAATATATGTGATATTTAAATGCATGGTCGGTAATATAGACGTCTCTTTTCCCCGCGGTCCGTACCTGCTATATTGATAACAAAGCATTCAGAATTGCGCGTAGAATCAAAGAAATAAGGTCTATATTCTTTCGCATATAGCAATAAGACTTTAAATTTTACGAGCTTACATCTCGGAGTGATAACTCTTTGATGCATGCGTTCTTTAAAGGTGATTTTCAATGTTTAAATAATGCCTTATGTTGTTTAGACTACGCGATCACCTTACGGAGCTCCGTGGATTGTGGATGTACCTTTTGGACAGGTTTCGAGCATGATTTTGTTCGTGTTGGTATATCTAGGGTATTTAATACCGTTGTTCTTTGGGTATACCTTTTTAATGTCTGGAAGATGATTTAAGTATTATCCGCCCACCGAGAGAAGCGTGGCTTTAGTATCTGCGGACTCCTCCCTACCCATTTCTCTTATTTCACCCAGTAAAAACCAGGCAATACCGGATACGCATTATAAGGACTGAGGTTCCCCTAATGTGTGCCGGAAGTACAGGTGTGGTCGTGGCGCCCGTGTTTCAGACTGGCTACGCACCTAAAAAGTTGCTTACGTCGGCCTAGGCACGCCTTAGAGTACCCCGACGACGAAATCACCCACGCCAACTAGCCTCCGTCTCCTCCCACACAGGCCGCAAACACCAACACTACACAGCTAGCAAAATTGCACACTAGCTTAGCCTTAGGCCGACACCGAACCCGTAAGATTATAGTGCGAAGACCCGGTTTACATACGAAGCGCTATACCAGGTACAGGTACGTACCTAGGCGTTTTTCCGCGACCCCCACGACAACGGCTAACTAGAGCCGAGGTCTGAGTTTCAGAGACGTCTTCTAGTTGAGCCGACTCCCTCAGGTTCAAGTGGTCTAGAGGTTCCAGACCGACGGGAGACTCCCCCGTAGGGAGATGCAATCCGCCTGGAATACCTCTAGAGGCACTCGCCAATTCTCGACGTGAGGTCTCTTTAGGATCTCGCCGACCCCAAACCCGGTGAGGCTGTAAAGGTCATCTGCGATCAACAGCATACACACTCAAAAAAAAACTATAAAATTTGGGTATATAACCTAAAGAAACAGAAATGCAGACACTAATTTGCATATCCGTTTTACATATTCCAGTTCGGTGTTCCTACCTTCTGTATCGGACATGGTCTTTGACCTGGACCCTGACTACTGGGCTACCAACAACGTGATCTTCAGCTCTGAAGATGACCAGTCTACTTCCATGCATTTCCTCAGTATGGCCGATGATACTGGTCTGCCGTCTTTCGCTGGGGTCAGACTTTCTACGGCGGGGAAGAGAGCTTCGGTGGGTACAATTTCACTATTTATGTTGTATAGTTTGGCAAGATGTTAGATGTGGCAAGATTATGGGAGGTAAAAGGTAAAGTGTGGCAAGATCCGGTAAGGTAAGGCAAAATGCGGCAAGATCAGGTAAAGAATGGCAAAATGTAGAGAGAAACTAAAATTAAAACAACTAGTCGTAAAGAAATGGCTTTAAGATTAAATATTGACGTAGAAAATTTTAAATTTGATGGTATTTCTAACTCAATTTTGGCTAAATATCGATTTTATAACCAATCTTTATGATGGAAATATTGCTTTTAGGTATACGTTGTAGCGGAGGGGGTGGCCTCAAATATGTACAAAAGGATGCACGCATTCAATGAAGCTGAAATGGACGTGGAGAAGTTGATCCAGGTCCTGAAGAACTTGAAGGTTTGGGCTGCGAAAACCACTGAGGAGGTAATTATATCCAAAGTATTTTTGAAATGAAACTACTTTACGCACGCTTGACTTGGGGGGTAAGCTGGCAAATGCGCTACGCGTTACGAAAAGTGTGTACAAGCAAGAGAAAGCAGTGCGCGCGCACATTTTCTTTCTCTCTTTCTCTTGTAGCTAGTAAATGAAATATTTCGGCCGTTCGAAACCAGTTTCGAGAAAAGAATTGTAAATCTTTTTTGGAACCTGGTTTTGGAAAACAGTAAAATATTCATTTTTCGAAACCGGGAATCAGAAACATGTTTATTGTTTCGTGACCGGTTTCCAAAAAGAAATAAGTATAAAACTTCTCGAAACAGGTTTCGAAAAATGGTTTCAAGAACGGCTGAAGACACTTTTCAAAGCTACGTTTTTATGTACACATTTATATGACATTTTATTTTAAACTCTTATGATTTTTTTTTATTTCCTAAATGGCTTCGCACGGCTTGTGCATTAAGCCAGTGTCAAGTGTTAAAATGTTTACAAATTCTATAGCACTCGTGGTCAAAGTAATAAATCAAGTCAAAGTAAGTGGCAGTCAAGTCAATCCCCCTTTCCCTATGTTTCAGTAAATGTGTGGGGATTTACTGGAACCTCCATGGACTTCTTGAGGGAACGTCGAAAGACACTTTCCGCTATTTTGTTTCACTTGCACACACTTGTGCATGTTCCCGAACACTTAATGGTTAATAATCCACCATTATTAGACACTAACATCCGCCACAACACAATTTTTAACAAGAAAAACAAAACTGCTAAAATTACGCTTTCCGATCCCGCCAAAAAGTCAACTCTTATGTTTATATGTACACATTTTCTGATTTTTTTTCTTAATCTCTTGTTGAGCGCTTAGATAACTCTTGTGGTAATTAAGAATCAAGTATTTTTTCAGGTACATGTAGATTTCGTATTCAAAATACATGAGAAGGCTGTGTTTGTCGCGCATATGAACCAGACTAGATTCAACAGCTGGAATCTAGTTGAATGTAAGTTCCATCATTTATTTACATTACGATACAAACTCGAGCTCAATGGCGCAGGTGGCTAGCGCGTTCGGGTGCGATCGTTGAAGTTAAGCAACTTTCGCAATGGTCGGTTATTGGATGGGTGACCAAAAATCTTCTATCTCGAATTCTTCCGTGCTTCAGAAGTCACGTTAAGCCGTTGGTCCGGGCTGCATCTGCAGTCGTTAGCAGCCGCCAATTCGCAGAACATAGCACAATCTCCCTATTCCATCCTTAGGGAGGGCCTGTGCCCCAGCAGTGGGGACATTAATATGCTGATGATGAATAAGGGGCTATTAATTTATGACTCAAAGAGCACGATGGAGCAAGTGGTTAGCGCGTTCGGCTGCGATCGTTGAACTTTAGCAACTTTTGCAGTGGTCGGTCATTGGATGGGTGACCAAAAATGTTCTATCTCGAATTCCTCCGTGCTTCAGAAGTCACGTTAAGCCGTTGGTCCCGGCTGCTTCTGCAGTCGTTAGCACCAATCCGCACTGGGCCCGCGTGGTGGGTCATGGCCCAATCTCCCTATTCAATCCATAGTGAAGGCCTGTGCCCCAGCAGTGGGGACATTAATAGGCTGATGATGATGATGAAGCAGTGCTATTCTGTAAAATTTTCACGCGCGGATCCACATCGGATCACTGCTGATCATAAAAAGCGCAAAATAAAGATTGTACTTTGCAAAAGCAGTTTATTACTACCAAAATAATAAAAATTAGTAACACCTTTGTAGATACAAATATATATTCCTAAGAATTGGTAATTTGAAAATAAACATTATGACAAATCGTGTAGGTATTCATTTATTTCTTAAGTATAATAGGGTATTTGACAAGTTTTAAAAAACGATCTCACGTTATTGACTAATGTTTATGGAGTCCGTGAAAAGTGGATATTCATCATTCTGTTGTGTATTTCAGTAAAAATAACCAAATCAAAAACTCCATTTTCATGTTGCCGCGAAAACGTTTTTCTGGAAAATATGGCATCTTACTAGTGTGTGACGTCACACGACTGTTATTAAAACGTCAAATATAAAAGATACAATGTAATGTCACTTTAACCGGAAGTTTACTTGCGTATGACGTCATTTTAGACTCCGCCAATCCCAAGCGTTTTGGGTCACGTGACAATAAATAAGAAAACTATTATCTTTCTCGTTAGTTTTTAGTGAAATTAGGAATATTTTATAATAGTAAAACCCCCTGCCAATATTCATTCTAAACACAGATGCAAACAATTAACACTTTATTTTTAACACTGTCAAATACCCTATTACGTAATAAATATGAAACAGGAGCGTGGTTATTGGACTATTTATGAGTTTCTTGCCGGTTCTTCTCAGTACAAGTACCCTTAGTACGAGTTTGAGCTCACGAAAACTATTTTTAATTTATTTTATTTTTTATTTTATTTTATGAACATAGAACAGTTATACACTAAATATTACATAAAATTATAATGTAGATATTAATTAGGTAAGTGTACAACCCACACCAATGTCCGCAAATTAATGATGAAAGGAGAAGTTTATTATCTTCTCACTACGGAATAATAAACTAAAAAACCGCTATAACTATCATAATTTTCGTAATTATAAAACTCGTAAGGGTACTGGTCTCACGTCGTAGATTTGTGAACCGATAGCGTAGCTTTTCGACATTCACGAGTGCTTGAAACAGCCTAGACTGAATACACAATAAATTTTTAAATTTTATGTTTTTTTTTTGATATTTTTTCTTACGAAGGGGAGGAGGCGGGGGGGAAACTAGCGAAAATACTTTACGTAATAAATGACTGGCCCTTAATGCCAACACTATTGTAGGTATATTAAAACTAAGAAGTAAACAGCAAACAATTACGTTTAATAAAAAGTAATCATACATTACAAAATAAAATTACCTAAATTTTTATTCTAACGAGCTTCGTGATGTAAGTGTTATGTACGCCAAATTTCAAAGTGTCGCCTACTCAGACGTCCTGGATTCGAATCCCGGTGGGGCAAATTACTGAATAATTCTCGGCACTTCTGATAATTTCAAAAGAGACATTTTGTTCGTTTTACATTTATTTATTGTATAATGTACCATTCCTAAGAATAATTGTAAATTTACTAAGAATATTCCCAAAGATTGGGAATGAGAAAAAAATCAAATATTCCCATGAAGTTGGGAATATTCCCGTGATTTACTAGGAGAATATTACCGGGATTTGGAATATCGCTATGGGGATGGGGACATCCTTATAATACACCGACTCAAAATATGGTTTTATGACACTTTTCTAATACGATATTATTTATAAACATCGACATACGTTGCATTATAGGGATAATATTTAATTTATTCGTTTTAAATTTTTATTATGTCATCATCATCATCATCAGCCTATTAATGTCCCCACTCCTGGGGCCTTCACCATGGATGGAATAGGGAGATTGGGCCATGACCCGCCACGAGGGCCCAGTGCGGATTGGCGGGTGCTAACGACTGCAGATGCAGCCGGGATCAACGGCTTAACGTGCCCTTCGAAGCACGGAGGAACTCGAGATAATAAATTTTTCCAATGACCCATCCAATGACCGACCATTGCGAAAGTTGCTTAACTTCAATGATCGCAGCCGAACGTGCTAACCACTTGCGCCATCGAGCTCCTCATTTTATTATGTATCTCTTAATAATTAATATAATTAACTTTTACCGCCAGTTTAATATTAAAGTTTGACAACAACAGCTGACGAAGAAAAATCTCAAAAAACTTTTTTTTCACAGTGGCGAAATCAGTAAATGAATTCTTAAGATTGGGCAGTCACATCAACCAGCAGATTGTGTACTACCCATCGCAAATGGAGCTTATATTCCCAAATGAATTGGGTAAGTGGTAAACGTTACCACCTTTAAGGCTTTTACCCTGATTTCCTGTTTGGCAGAATGCGAATGACCTGCGTCGTTAAGGCGCTTTGCAGACGGCGGGGCGGAGCGGGCCGGTCAATTTCGCCGCGAACGATAGCACAAAGTGAATCCTATACTACAAACGCACACAGAGGGCCAAAAAGACCGCGCCGCAGGTGCCCGGCGGGCACTGGGGCGGCGCGGCATGTCCGCGGCTGCCCGCCGTGGATCGTACAAACCAGTTTATATGCAGTAACGCAGATGGCGGCGCGGGGCGGCTAGCTCAGTCCGCGCCACGCGCTTTTTAGTGATGTACTATTCACTAGAACGAACGTCCTGAACTGACCGCCTCTGCCCGTCATGTGCTTTGTGTACGCGGCGAGGCCAGCCGCAGACATTGACGGGCAGACGCGGTTTTTATTGCTTCGCGGACAAAAAGCCCGCCCCGCCCCGTCGTCTGCAAAGCGCCTAAAAGTGGGCTTTCGAAGCGAGCGTCAGTGAAGCCGCGACAGAGCGTCAGATAGAATTTTATGCCAATGACATTGTCAGTGCCGCTTTAACCGACGCATGACTTGTAAGGCTATGTATGCTTCACCACCTGATCAACTAATAAAGTTATTTTTTTAATTCAAAATATAAGATTATATGTTGTCTCTATTAGCTTTACACCTGCGTACTATATCAATTTGAACATTGATTTTTGGGGTGTAGAGAATATCGTTTTTTTCAATTGAGCTTTACGCCCATTATGCATCTATTCATCATAATAAAAATGGACGTCAAGAGCATTCTAGTGATTTTGTCTAGATGTAAAGGCACATCTATTTTCTAAAATAACAAACTAGACTAAAAACTTAATATTTCATCGTCTGCATCTCAAGATTTAAGGTACATTTTATCTACATCACTTTTTTAAAACTTTAAAAATGAAAGCGTAATGAATTTATGTAATTTAAAAAATCTCATTTTGAATCTCCTGAAAAGTCGGGTTTTGTGCTTTACGTCAATTGAAATTACAAGTATCGATATATATGTATATATGGGTAATGATTGCGCTTCTCCATTCCCCTATGCCTTATGCAGCGCCTTATGTTAGGTTATTTAAGAAAAGAAGTGTCACTTTAGATGTGTGGTCCGTGAACATTATATTTTTTTTTCCCTTAAAGATCTGGGATAATTTCACGTTAGGTACTCATTTTCATATTTAAAAAGAATGTGCACGAAACCCTTTGTTTGCAAGACCGAATCGCACGACCGCATTTTGTATAGCTAGAATCATTCATTATGGATTTATCTTAAATAACATGTTATGGTTTCATTTGCGCGGCTACAAAATCAAATTTCTGAAAAGTTTGATTCTGACGACGTAGCCTGTAAAGGCTACGAAACGTCAATAAATAAATAAAGTTTCGTGCATTAACCCGTAAAAACTGATTTTATTTAAGTAAAACAATACACATACCTACATAAAAACTAACAGATAAACATTGCAATTAAATAATCAAATTTTTTTTTACTTAAACTTTTCGTCATAACATCTGCCAAATTATCGTGCGTATTTACTCTATGCTTAATATTTTGTTATACACTAAATCTTTCAAAAATGGTACTTTATATCTATATGTTTCGTTCTCTTTGAATTTTAAATAAAATTGTTAAAAGCTTCTTTCAAATTTTTAGGAATCCCAGTGAGATTGCAAACTACCTCCGTGTCATTCACATCAATAAGAGGAAACCTCACCACACCAGCCACAGATATCCATATAAGGTAAGGTTATCGCCATCATCAGCCTATTAACCCCACTGGTGGGGCACAGGGCTTCCCTATGGATGGAATCAGAAGAACAGGTCATCAAGCGCAGTGATCACGACTGCAGATGCAGCCGGGACCACGGACTTAACTTGCCTTCCAAAGCACGGAGGAGCTCGAGATAGTAAAGTTGTGGTCACCCATCTAATGACAGACCACTGCGAAAGTTGCTTAACTTCAACGATTGCTGCTAAACGTACAATTATCTCAAGATGCAGGCGCGGCGGCGGCCTCTGCCGAGTGCTCCAAGCGACGCAAATATTCAGCTCTCAATGAGAACGTGTCCACGTGGTTCGTCTTGATCCGCCATCTTGGTTATTCAATGATATTTCCCGAAAATAAAACTGTAGTCTAGTGACCAAGCTAACGTTTAATTTGAATCTTCTAATCACTTTACAAAATCAGCAATGATTGCAAATGTACAAAAGGATTGCTTTGCGAAGCGTGGAGAGTTCTGTGCTAACGTCCGGTCACTATCACGGCTTACGTTTGAATGCTGAATGCCCCTTCCATTTTTTTTTGTTTCCTCCCAGGCGGGGGAGCGCTTGTGAAATCCTCATGGATACCCTACAGCCGGCTGTAGGGTTATGTCAGACTCTTACTGACTAAAACACACCCGTGGGGGATACCTATGGCCTTAGGGGCCTTACAGGCTTCATCTGATGCGATCAACCCCTGAGAAGGGGATGATGCAGGCCCCTTCCAATGAAGCGTAGCCCCTTAAATACTACCCTTAGCATAGACCACTCCCAAGTGGTGACAGCTGTCACTGTCATTACTTGACGTTTCACAAGGCAATGGTACACTGACTGATGACATTTGTTGTCGGTTTAACGTTTCGAAGAAGCGAGTGAGACGCCATCCGCCGACATATATAGGAATACAAATAAGTTTCCGCCGTTTTATTGTCGATGGCGCGGCACGGAGTTTCGGTTAGCTTTCGCAGATGATAACCGGCTTAAAAAATAGTTTGGACATTCAAGAACAACATAACCTATTAATATTATTGATTTTGTATTGATAAAATATAATTTTTACAGGTTGAAAATGTCAAAATTTGAGCCAAGTAAGCGTCATTTGCAGGAAATATTAGTTTACTTCTTTAATTTAAAGAAATCTGCTGCTGAGGCGCATCAATTGCTCGTAGAAGCATATGGTGAGGGTGCTTTGAGTCAGAGAACGTGTCGAGAGTGGTTTCAAAAGTTTAAAAACGGTGATTTCGACGTAGAAGACAAAAATCGCAGTGGAAGGCCATAAATTTACGAGGATGCAGAATTGGAGGAAGATTCATCTCAAACACAAAAAGAACTTGCTCTAACATTAGAAGTCACTCAGCAAGCAGTCTCACATCGTTTAATATCATTAGGAATGATTCATAAACAAGGAAATTGGGTTCCGTACGAATTAAAGCCGAGAGATATTGAACGTCGATTATTAGACATAAAAAAAAGGGTTTTTTACATCGTATCGTAACGAAGACGAACGAATGAACGAGAAGTGGATACATTATGACAATCCAAAAAGAAGAAAATCATGGGGATTACTTGGCCACGCGTCAACATCAACAGCAAAACCGAATATTCACGGAAAAAAACTTATGCTGTGTATTTGGTGGGATCAGCTAGGTGTAGTGTATTATGAGTTGCTTAATCCAAGCGAAACAATTACTGGAGCCCTCTATCGAACACAATTGATGAGATTGAGCCGAGCTCTGAAGGAAAAACGCCCTCAATACTATTCTAGACATGAAAAAATTATTCTTCTGCATGACAATGCTCGTCCACATGTTGCGGCTCCCGTAAAAAAGTACTTGGAAACACTTGATTGGGAAGTGTTACCCCACCCGCCGTATTCACCAGACATTGCACCGTCCGATTATCACCTGTTCCGGTCCATGGCACATGCTCTGACGGCGCAGCGGTTCACATCTTATGAGGATACCAAAAATTAGGTTGATTCGTGGATAGCCTCAAAAGACAAGGAGTTCTTCAGACGTGGGATTCGAATGCTGCCTGAGAGATGGGAAAAGTGGTTGCAAGTGATGGGCAATATTTTAATGAAATTTATATTACCTTTCTTCTATAATAAATATTTAATTTGTGTTAAAAAACGGCGGAAACTTATTTGTACTCCTGTATATATTTGTGCAGTTTGGTGTTGAGAATATGACCCCATGGGGTCCAAGCGCTCGTTCCCTTTTTAAGGAAATGCCAAGGCTCACCGAAGTGACTGGTGATCAAAAGGCTGGCAGCTATCTTGGTCAACTGATCAGCCTTGCCATCCAATGCGGCAATGCAGCCAGCCTATTGGGCACCATTCCTCATGGCGGCGCTGGGGATGACATACTTTTTATTTGTAAATTATTAAGTATCGCCGCACACGGGCCACACACCACAGCCACAAACGCCGCCACGAGAAGCTAGAAGCGGCTACTAAAGTGGCTGAAGCGCGCGACAGCGGCCGACTAAGGTAAGGGAGAGAAGGCTGGAGAATCGCGCGAGTGACGTGTGGCGGCGTTTTGTATCGGCGCATTAAGTGGCCGGTGCGGGCCACAAGAAGCGAGCAACGACGATTTGTAGCGTGTGGCGGCCACCGGCGTACCGTGTGTGGCGAGTCCATATCAAATGTATGAAAACTACAAGAAATATGCCGGTGGTGGCGTTTTGTGGTTGTGGTCGGTGGCCCGTGTGCGGCGACACTTATAACATAGAAAACCACCGCCGGTGTGCGGTGGTTTTTAAGTTTGACCTTATATGTTTCAAAATTACTTATCACAGTAATATTATAAAGGCGAAAGTTTGTGAGTGTGTGAGTTTGTATGTTTGTTACTTCTTCATGTACAAACGTCTGGAGCGATTTTAATAAAATTTGGTTAGGAGTTAGCTGACACCTTGAATTAACATATAGGCTACGTTTTACTGCGGGAAAGTATATCTAATATACCGCGGGGTACAGCTAGATTACAATAAAGGTATTAAAGACTATCTGTTACCCACGGTTTATTAGGGATATTCAGTCTGTAGGCTAACTACCACAACAAGGGCCACGGATTGTAAAATTGTCTCGTAAATATTGCCGATCGTACAATGTCTTTCTCGGCCTTATTTATAATGCACAGTGTAGGGTAATTTTATGATGCTGTGCCACGTTGTTTTGGTCCGATGACGTGGCTTTTATTACGTGTCGTCTTATCTCCATTTTGTTTTTATTTATTTCTTACAACATTTCTTAGGTTATGGTTTTGTCTATTTTTTGTTTCTCTCTCTTATTTTGGTGTATCCAAATTTTCATAGGCAAAGAGCCGAGCTCACACAGCCTCTTGTGTTATTATTATTTTTCATTTTTTGTTTTGTGCTGGACTGCTATGGGCGAGGGATGCGAGGTCCAGATTGTTTTTTGTTTTTGTTTTGTGTATTAAGTGATTGTCTTGTATTTCCGTCCGTGGATGTCCAGAATATCAGCGTTGCAGCGGCAATCCATTTTATGCCGTTGCAACATTATGCTGAGGTGGGGCCTTGTTGACGATGTACCCTTTGTTTTATGTTTCATCATCATCATCATTAGCCTCTTTTTTATGTCCCCAATGCTGGGGCACAGGCCTTCCCTGGAGCTCGATGGCGCGTTAGCGCGTTCGGCTGCGATCGTTGTAGTTAAGCAGCTTTCGCAGTGATCGGTCATTGGATGGGTGACCAAAAATTTCTATCTCGAGTTCCTCCGTGCTTCGGAAGGCACGTTAAGCCGTTGGTCCCGGTTGCATCTGCAATCGTTAGCACCCGCCAATCCGCACTGGGCCCGCGTGGTGGGTCATGGCCCAATCTCCCTATTCCATCCATAGGGAAGGCCTGTTTTATGTTTGTTGTGTATTTATTGTAATTGTTAATGTATGTCGTCAATGAATGTTTTTCTTTCGTTCTTTCTAACTAAATACCAAATTTAATTAAAATCGCTCCAGCCGTTTAGACGTGAAGAAGTAACAAACATACACACTTACAAACTTTCACCTTTATAATATTAGTGTGATAAGGAAGGTATCAGTACACTTATTATGTACTCTTCCTCAGGTATCAAGGCATGTCGCTCATATCTCTGTCCACATTTGGCCCACTGGTCCAGTCGGAGCACGCGGCCCGAATTCAAAAGTCGATGGTGGCCCATCTACCAATAAAGTTCAACATATCGCACACGCCCGTGGGAGTGTTTAAGTGAGTCTGTTATCATATTCATCATCATCATCTGCCTAATGATGTCCCCACTGCTGGGGCACAGGCCATCCCTATGAATGGAATAGGGAGATTGAGCCATGACCCACCACGCGGGCCCAGTGCGGATTGGAAGGTGCTAACGACTGCAGATACAGCCGGGACCAACGGTTTAACGTGCCTTCCGAAGCACGAAGGAACTCGAGATAGAAAATTTTTGGTCACCCACCCAATGACCGACCACTGCGAAAGTTGCTTAACTTCAACGATCGCAGCCGAACGCGCTTACCACCCGCGCCATCGAGCTCCTCATTCTCATCTCATCTCATCATTCTCATCCTCATTATCATATTAAAATAAACTAACTTTACCTGCTACTAGGCTTCACAAAATCAAAATATTAATTTAAAAAAAGTCTTTGTGTTCGCTTATACAATGAAGTCCCAAGCAATATACAAGAGTTAACCATAAATAAATTCATAATACTGTAAAAAAGCACTTTTTAAAATGCAAAGTGTCTAATTATTGTAAATGTTGTTACATTATTCTTCTGATGCTGTGGAGAGCCGCATCATAGGCGATGAGGAGGTGACTAAACACCTTGAGCCTCTTCAATTACGCCGTGACGTGGCGTCACTAAGCGCGTTTTATCATCTGTACCACGGCGAGTGTTCTGAGGAGTTATTCTCTCTTATTCCACCTTCCCCTTTCCTTCAGAGGACCACGCACGCTGGCCTAACTTTGGCCACAATTCCAAAGCGTTTAAAGAATTTTGGTGACTCATATCTTTGTCTCACTTTCTGTAAATGGAATGCTCTCCCTGCTCAAGTGTTCCCTCCTTCTTACAACCTCGGATCCTTTAAAAGAGGCGTAAAGCGTGCATGAGAGCACTATGCGGCATCAAAGCATGAGAGCACTATATGGCATCAAACCAGACATATCGTGTAAACGCTATTTCCAAAACTTAAAAATTATGACTCTTACTGGTCTTTATGTGCTGGAAATTGCGAACTTTGTTAGAAGCAACGGTCATTTGTTCTTACAATCAAAACAAGTGACTACCGGAAGTCTAAGATATCCCCACAAACTTATTTGACACAAATCCAAAGACCAAGAGTTTCTTAAAAAAAGTTACACTATGTGTAATGTTATATACAATAAAATACCACATGACAAAAAAATCCCGTTTAACATGTTTCTCAAATCATTACGAAAATGGTTACTGGAAAAAGATTTCTGTTCGTCATCATCATCATCAGCCTCTTAATGTCCCCACTGCTGGGGCACAGGCCTTCCCTATAGATGGAATAGGGAGATTGGGCCATGACCCAACACGTGGACCGAGTGCGGATTGGCGGGTGCTAACAACTGCAGATACAGCCGGGACCAACGGCTTAACGTGCCTTCCGAAGCACGGAGGAACTCGAAATAGAAAATTTTTGGTCACCCATCCAATGACCGACCACTGCGAAAGTTGCTTAAGTTCAACGAGCGCAGCCGAACGCGCTATCGAGCTCCTCCAAAAATAACGTGTTTTTCTAAATTTTATTTTTGCATTTCTTTCCAAAATTACTGATTTCCAGTACTAATAGTCACTGTAGAAAGATTCAATATCCTTTTTGATTCAGAACTTGAATATTGCTTTATTATTTTTTTATGTTACAAGGGTGCCAAATAAGACTATGATAAAAAATTGCGTGTGTCAGCTCCGACGCACGACTGGAGTTTACTCCTTAAGTTCGATAGTCTAACCAGACGCAAAAAGAGTTTATTTAACTTAAAAAACATTGATACTGTATGAAAGGGTAAATTAACAAATTAATGAAAATAATATACATATATAAATATATATTTATTCATTTCATATACATTTATTATAACTAATCGACGAAATATTTTACAATAGTCAATTTCAGATGTGCATAAATATATCATTAGGAATGTTGATAAATTATGTAATTATTATTATCAGACTATTATCATTTTTTTGAATATTAATTAAATCAACATTGTCTGCATTATTAATTACAGTGACAAGTGGTTTATGGTAACTAAAATAAGACACATGGACGTTCGTAGATACGTGGTTCACGAATCTTGAAAATACCGCATCAATGGTTGTACCATACCTCGTTGTCCCCATTGCTCTATCAGAAACAATATCTAAATTCAGTTCAGATTTAAAAAAAAATATTAATGTCAATCCGTCATCTTTGTTTGTCAATGTTGCGCGGCATAGGATGCGCACCAAAAACGTAACGAGGTCATTCATCGATAGATTTTACTCCTCACATTTTTCTCATACCGGACCCCTTATATATGCAAATCGATTCTTAAGGAGTAAACTCCAATAATAATAGTCGGTTGTCCGCTTGGATCGTCTATACAACGATATCGCTAAAGAGTTGCCAGAGCTAGATATCAATTTTCAGAGCTATTCTGAGTTTATAACACTGTTTAAAAGGGCTGACGCCCTTTAGCCGCTTAAGCTTGTAGTTGGTGCTTCCATTTTTTTTATGCTGTTTTTATGTATTCATGTGCCTGCTTATTTTGTGTGTGTGTGTGTGTGTGTTTTTTTTAACGCTTGCTGTGGCTACCTTAATTTTAAATGCAGTAAGCTATAAGCAATTTGAGCTTTGTTTGTACCAAGAACTGCTGTAACTTATGTTGGTGGCCCTTATAATAAATAAATAATAAATTATTGGAACCACTTTATATTTTCGTATATGATAATATGAACCCTGTCCTCTGGAAAAGGTTACCCTGAGGACCAGAAGACAGTGCTCTCCCCAACTATTGTTACTTTAGAGATACAATAATTTAAAACTACTAAATAAAAATTATATAAAAATAATGTTAAAAAAGTACCTACTAATGATGATCCAACTGACCCCTTATTTTATTTCCAGCTTCAAAACTGACTTCATGTTGCCAATTCCAAATGGCGGAGTAGTCATACACACTCGCACGCAAGTCGAGAAGAACACCAAGAACAGTGTGGACCTCCACACTGTGAGGAGTAAGGAGAACGCACGGGTGAGTAAACATCATCGTAAGGCTGTTAATGTCCCCACTGCTAGGGCACAGGCCTTCCCTGTGGATGGTATTATCATCAGCCTATTAATGTCCCCACTGCTGGGGCACAGGCCTTCCCTATGGATGGAATAGGGAGATTGGGCCATGACCCACCACGCGGGCCCAGTGCGGATTGGTGGGTGCTAACGACTGCAAATGCAGCCGGGACCAACGGCTTAACGTGCCTTCCGAAGCAGAAGTCACTTGCGCCATCGAGCTCCTATGGATGGTATGGAGAGAAAAACATAATCTGAAATATATTTGTTTCTTAAGTTTTCACGCACATCGCTCATTAAGTAAAACTAGTTTTAACGGGTTAATGCACGAAACTTTATTTATTTATTGACGTTTCGCAGCCTTCTCAGGTCTGCGATGATGACGATGATTCTGACGATGCAGACCTGAAACGGCTGCGAAACGTCAATAAATAAATAAAGTTTCGTGCACTAACCCGTTAAAACTAGTTTTATTTTATCTAAAATACTTTTTCAACACATTTTATCAAGAAATGCATTTACGGAGGTTGTATTCACTGTTCAAAAGTTCAAAATTACGGTCATCACGGCGTTAGGGATGATGACTAATTTTTTTTTCTTCGTTTATCTTGTAGATTATCAAAAAGTATTGGACACGTATTTTTTCTATTTTCACATAATATAAACATTGCAGAGATATATTGATTTGAAAAGTCGCATGACGTCACGTTTGAGTACACTTATAAGTGAAAATTCACTCAAAAGTGACGTCACGAGCCCCTACTCCCAAACTTTGACGCGCTATAACTTTGTCATTTTTTGGTTGATTGCCCAAAGAAAAAATATGTGTCCATTATTTTTTGATCATCTAACTGACGGACTAAATAGAATTTCGTTTACTGTACCCCGTCATCACCCCTATTGATCAGTGAATTCACCCGGATTGCGAAGGGTGCGGGTTTGAGTTCCGTCTGCTGCCTGGGTCTGCGTGGATTTTTTTCTAGTTATATTTTCTTTAGATTTGAACATCAAGTTAAAAAATAAAAATATATAATTATCTTTATTGTTTGTTTCAAGACTCACAACCGCAGCATATTCTCCGATTGCGAGAACTCCACGTTTAATATGAAGCTGGAACATCTATTCACGAGAAATATTTACAGGTAAAGACGTACCTATAGAGTTACTAAACTTTATGAGTCTTAAATTTCTTATTTCTATTTCATCAGGACCATCATCAGCCTATTAATGTCCCCACTGCTGCGGCACTGGCCTTCCCTATGGATGGATAGGGAGATTGGGCCATGACCCATCACTCGGACCCAGTGCGGATTGGCGGGTGCTAACGACTGCAGATGCAGCCGGGACCAACGGCTTAACGTGCTTTCCGAAGCACTGCGGATCTTTGGTCATCCATCCAATGACCGACCACTGCGAAAGTTGCTTAACTTGTACAATCGCAGCCGAACGCGCTAACTACCTGCGTCGAATTCCTCAATATTTTTTTTATTTATCTAGACTAAAAGTTGGTATATAAAATCAGCAAATCGTGCTTACCGAAAGCATTTCTTCAGATTTTAATTTACTGAGTAAAAGCATAAAATGTACATGTAGTGTAGTACAGAAGGTCATCTCATGCACAAAAAACAGAAAGAGGTTAGAAAGGCCTTATGAGCGGGGCAGGCGCGTCACAGTCATGTGTGAGCAAATGCTCATAACTTGACCAAAACTTGGTTCTGATTGCGTCGTTGCTCTCAGCTGTGTGCGCCGATTGGTTCAATTGTTTGATATATATGTGAGGCATATAGATGTCGCCGCCTAACTTCAAAAAACCCAAATACCTTAAAAAAAGAGCGTACTCCTTCCTTAAAGGCCGGCATCGCATTTGTGATACTCCTGGTGTTGCAAGTGTCCATGGGCGACGGTGATCACTAACCATCAGGTGAGCCGTCTGCTCATATGCCCCCTATAACATAAAAAAATTAAAAAAAACTACTCATTCCATGAAGTCCCAGAACCTTAATACCGACAGAAACACAACACTACCACAAGATTTATATAGTGCTATTTTACTGTGGTCCTCTGTAAGGTGAAGGTTACTGACCAAGATGGGCGCTCCAATTTAAAATATTTCAACGCAAACAAAAAAATTTGGCGACTCATTTTTTATCCTACTATCTTTCAATCGAGAACTTTGCCCACTCACGTGTTCCCTCCCTTCCACAACCCTCCTCCACTACTTTAAAAGAGACGCGAAAAAACAAATAGCTGGTCGGCAAGCTGAGCTGGTGTGGCAGGTAACCATGCTGCACCAGTACTCCTCACGTCTGAACTCCAACGCCACTTAATATAAATCATTTGATCGGACCTATATGCTAGTAACGCCGCACACGGGCCACACGCCACAGCCACAAACGCCGCCACGAGAAGCTAGAAGCGGCTACTAAATTGGCTGAAGCGCGCGACAGCGGCCGACTAAGGGTAAGAGAGGGGTGGGGAATCGCGCGAGTGACGTGTGGCGGCGTTTTGTATCGGCGCATTAAGTGGCCGGTGCGGGCCACAAGAAGCGAGCAACGAGGACTTGTAGCGTGTGGCGGCCACCGGCGTACTGTGTGCGGCGAGTCCATATAAAATGTATGAAAACCACAAGAAATATGACGGTGGCGGCGTTTTGTTGCAGCATGCTCAAATACCTCCAACCAAGCAGACTCATGCTGCGAGCCATACCATTGGTTGTTTCTCCACCTGCCAGTTCTTGCGGGATAATTCACTTGCACAACGCCGCCATCTTGGATGTCAACAGGGGAATCAAAGCCACACTCCTCATAGAAAACCTGGCCTCCATCGTAGACTTTTTCTCCGGAGACAAGAATTTGCTGAAGACTTCTCTACTGCTGAAGGATTTCAGGTATTTTATTTAACGTATACACTTCAATAATATTATAGTTTTTTTTATAAATCGATCAATTTAATGTTGTATTTATTTTTGCTTTCAGACAAGACACAGAATCTTCTGGTGAAATACTGAACTTTGAAATTGACTTCGAAATCAAAAACGAAGACAAACATATCATTACTAGAGTCGAATTCAACTCCACTGATTCTATTAAAGTAAGTATAATTTATGTTGTTTTTTTTTAAGTATTTAACTGCTAGATTTTTAAATCTAAAGAAAAGTATTACTAGAAAAAAATCCACACGGACCAGGCAGCGGACGGGACTCGAACCCGCACCCTTCGCAATCCGGGCCAATGCCCGGTTTTTTTTATACATATAGTAATACATTTCTTTAGATTTAAACATCTAGTAGTTAAATGCTTTAAAAAAATAAAAACATAACTTTAATTGCTATTTCTTCTTTCAAATATTTTAATACTTGAAAAAGTATTCATTTGACATTGTGGGTTAACTACAATGCGAAGAAATGGCGCGGCCTTGCATCAGGGCCGTGGTAGCATAATTGGTCAGTGCATTCGCCCGGATTGCGAAGGGTGCGGGTTTGAGTCCCGTCCGCTGCCTGGTCCACGTGGATTTTTTTCTAGTAATACTTTTCTTTAGGTGTAATTTCCAAAAAATAAAAGCCCAACGTGTCTTCTGAATATATTGTTTTAAACTTTCATAGTCACTAACATTATAGCTATTAACGGGATTGTTACCATGTACCTTGTTTTTTATGAGTCTCCGATATTTTGGCACTGTTATAAAAGCGAAAGTTTGTGAGTGTTTGAGTGTATATGCCTGTTACTTCTTCACGTCTAAACGGATGGGGCGATTTTAATAAAATTTGGTATGGAGTGAGCTCACACCCTGGATTAACATAGGCTACGTTTCACCGCGGCGTTTTAAAAAATCCCTAAAAACGGCAGGTACCACCGCGAGTCAGAACTAGTATTTAATAAAAACTGTCATCATCATCAACCCATGCTCGTCCACTGCTGGACATAGGTCTCCCCTAATGCACGCCACTGCTCCCGATTTTCCGCCAATCTCATCCAGCCCACTCCAGCCAGCCTACGAATGTCATCATCCCATCTTGTCTCAGGGCGTCCCACACTACATTTACCGAATCGCGGTCTCCGCTCAAGAACTTTACGGCTCCATCGGCCGTCAGTTCTGCGGCTAATGTGACCAGCCCATTGCCACTTCAGTTTGCTAATTCGGTGGACAATGTCGGTGACTCCGGTTCTCTGTCAGATTACATCATTTCTGATGCGGTCCGTCAGGGATACTCCGAGCATAGCTCTTTCCATAGCTCTCTGAACGACTTTTAACTGGTGGACCAGTCCAGCCGTGAGTGTCCACGTCTCGGCGCCGTATGTCATAACTGGGAGGACGCACTGGTCGAAGACTTTCGACTTGAGACATTGAGGGATGGGTGACGAGAAGACTTGACGGAGCTTAAGAAATGTTGCCAAATAAAAACTGTATTCGTCTTTATTTCACAGACTTTCATTGAGAACAACGACTACTTGTACGTAGGCGACAGACACACAGCCTTAGATACCAAACACAAGAGCCATATAACCGCAGGATACTACACGACTGAGGACAATAACGTCACTACATCTTTAAGCATCTACATTGACACAGCTCAAGACGCCACTGGAGAAAAACGGATAGACGTCAGATTCTCGCACGATATCAATTCTTTGTTCTATCCGTTTACTTATCTCATCTTACCGTTCTGCGCCAAGCATGATCAGGCGAGTCGTATGAAGGATATGCAGGTAAGAATACACTTAGCGTTGTTAACGTAATTAGCGGGATTTTAGCGTAATTTACATAATAGCGGGATTTTTAGGGTAATTAACATAAATAAAACTAGTTTTTACGGGTTAATGCACGAAACTTTATTTATTTATTGACGTTTCGTAGCCTTTACAGGCTTCGTCGTCAGAATTAAACTTTTATTTAATTTGTCGAGCTACCTTCGAAAGACTTTTATTGAGCGTTTGGTTATTTCATTGTTCGATTTTTAAGTTTTATTGTCTATGTATGAATTTATTATTTAATTTACTTATAATAAAGTATTTTATTTCAAATTCTTTTTTGTAATTTTGAGTTTATTTATTTGACCCTAACTACCGTAAACTACCACCGGTTCCAAAATTGGGAGACCTTTCTGAGAAGAACCGGCGAAACAAACTCAAGAGAGGCTTTCTATCTCCTTCTTATGTTAAATTATGCAAACAAAAAGAACTAATAGTATCTGATGGTCTTGCAGTGTGTGCTCAGGGTTGGGATTTTATCTCCTGTATAATAGGTTCCCAAGCTGGTGGTATATACCAACCATCTTCCCTATTGAAATTTGGATATTTTTTAATCTCAATAGCCTCGCGCATCATTCGAGGAACGAACCGCCGCTCAGCTGCAAGGATCTGTGGTCTATCAAATCTAATGTAGTGGTTTGGTCCCCCTAATGCATGTTCACACACTGCAGATTTATTTTCGCGCCTACGTTTCATATCTGCGATATGTTCTTTTACCCGAGTCCCTATACTCCTCTTTGTTTGCCCGATGTAGGAGAACCCACAGTAAGAGCCCAATAAATTCATACATAGACAATAAAACTTAAAAATCGAACAATGAAATAACCAAACGCTCAATAAAAGTCTTTCGAAGGTAGCTCGACAAATTAAATAAAAGTTTTATTCTGACGACGAAGCCTGTAAAGGCTACGAAACGTCAATAAATAAATAAAGTTTCGTGCATTAACCCGTAAAAACTAGTTTTATTTAATGAGTGATGTGCGTGAAAACCTAAGAAACAAATAATTAACTTAATTTATTTATTTATTGCATTGCATATCACATTCACAGAAATAAGGTGGTACATAAAAAATACAGTAACTATTTGACGCCCTGCAAGGGCGCAGCAACTTTAGAGGGTTATTATCTATTTAAAATACTATATTATACAATTGTACAATATAATTTATAAGTTAAATTTCAATCATTCTATACATACATTGGTGTTTGGTGTCAATTCTAGCATGACTCTCCAACCTAAATGTGACGACAGTGTATCTTTATCATTTCCAATACAGAATAAAAAAGTTTAGAGAATCATGCTAGAATCGACAACATTAATTCATTCATTCATAAAAATCATTCATAATTAGTGGGAGTTTAGGGTAATTAACGTGATTTTAGGGTAATTAGTATAATCAGCGAGTTTTTAGGGTAATTAGCATAACCATTGGGGCTTTAAGGTCAATATAAAATGAATTAAAGTTTCACGATTTCGTACTATTAGCACATTAAGAATTGAAGTTACCATAAGATATTATAAGTGTCTTATTTTATTTCGCAGCTGCCACAAGACATATGGGTGCCACTGTATCTCGCTTGCATTTCGGAATCTTTCAAGATGCCATTCGTAAACCTTGCTGTGAGCAACACTCAAATCTCAGCGGTTTTGAAGGTAAACTATAAATTTTATTAAAGGAACAAATAGATAGGTAATATTCTCTTATATGCAATGTTACTTATTTAGTGCTTACACTAGGTCTCCAAAAATAATCATATTAAGTGTTATACTGGATTTTTAGGGAATATTCCCGAAAATTACTAAATCGCAAATTCGGAATATTTCCATATTCTTAAGAAAAATTAGAAATATTACTAGTATTCCAGGAAAAATCGGGATAAAATGCTTTCAATTTACAATATTCCCCTTAATTATAAAAGTTCTGGCAAATCAGTTGCAATAAAGATTTTCATTCGAGGTCTAAAATTCATGAATAGTATTTTTTTCTATAACAGGATGGCCTGACTTCCGTAAAGGTGACCAATAGTCCAGACATGAGGCTGAAGTCACCAGAAATTGTCTGGTGGGTAGACAATTGGATAACCTTGAAGAAAATGACTACTTTCGGGTTGTACAGTGAGTATCAGTATCATATTGTTACGTGTCGGGATGGGGTTCGAAATTAGATACCAGTTCACGCTTGACAGTTCTTTATTCACCACACAGTTCACACAATTAACACACAACATTAATTACAAAACACTCACTAAACACTGTAAAGTAGTAGTAGTAGTATAAAGTCTCTAAACAATCGCACTTGAACACTTTTATTGCACTTTGATACACTTCTGGACACATCTATTGGCCCACCTTGTATTTTCAGTTTCGTTTGGTCCTAGCTAAAATTTTATATTAGGTCGAGCAAAAAGTTTTTATGCAGTTTTGAACCTGGCAGATTCACAATTTCATTCAATAGTCTTTTTTTGAATTTCGAACACAGAATTTAAAGAAACAAAAGACAATGTGGAGCCTGTTTGTTGATATCAAACAATCGAATACTAAGAAAACTTGGTTTTATTGGTTTACTTGGATTTAATTCTTGAAAAAGTGATTGATATCTTTGGTTTTGCAACAAACATTACTTATTCTTAACATTAAGGTGAGGTTCTATCAATAATCTATGGATACTGCACCTGAAGTCGCCGCCCAAGCTGTGGCACTTATTCAGGCCGGACACAGCCAAAGAAACGTGAGTGCTCAACTTAATTTAAGTCGATCTGCGGTCCGAAATGTTTATCGGAGGTACCTAGAGACTGGCGGCTTTGTTCGTCGCCTATGAAGGCCACGATCTCGGGTCACAACTGAAAGGCAGGATCGATTCATCGTGACGACCAGCTTGAGAAATCGTCACCTTACCTCCATTGAGATACAAAAACAAAAACTTCCACGGAGTATCTGTGAGCGCTCGAACTGTTCGGAGAAGGTTAAAAGAACGCGATATGATACCACACAAGCCAGCTAATGGGCCCAAACTAACGCGAGCCCACCGAACAGCGCGCCTTCATTTCGCACGCGGTCATTTAAATTGGACACAGCAAGATTGAAGCCGTGTACTCATTTCTGATGAGTCTAAAATTGTGTTACATGGCAATGATGGAAGGAAGAAGGTCTACCGACGTAAGGGAGAGCGTTTCGCACAATGCTGCTTTGAAGAGAGGGTTGCTTATGGCGGTGGCTCATGGACTGTCTGGGACGGTATATCCGCGAGCGGCAAAACTCAACTTGAGGTTGTTACAGGACCACGGCTGCCACCATTAAATGCTGAAAGGTACATTCGTGAGTGCTTAGAACCTCACGTGATACCATACGCGGACTATGTGGGCCCAAATTTCCTTTTTATGCATGATAATGGAAGAGCCCATGCGGCCGGCATCGTCAGGGAATATCTTCGGGATGTGAACATCACAGTTATGGACACAGCCAGAAGCCCAGACATGAACCCCATTGAGCACATGTGGGACGAGCTAAAAAGACGTGTTAGGGCTCGTCAGCCAGTTGCCCAGACGATGCAGGAGTTGAAAACTGCCATAGAAGAGGAATGGGAGATGATCCCTCAAAATTTCATAGAGCGGTTGATAAACTCTATGCCTAATCGTATGAGAGCTGTGGTAGATGCCCATGGAGGCAACACGCGTTATTAAATTAAACCTTTATTTGATAAAACATGTTTTTTATTCAAAAATCAATTGCCTTTAACAAGACGCATATCCGACTTGTTAGGCGTAGCTCCATGTCGTATGGTATTCTGAATTCAAATTTAAAAGAATACGATCGAAAAAGATGGTAAAATGTATCAGGTTTAAAACTGCATCAACAGTTTTTGTTCAATCTAGCAATCATATTTCGGTAGGGGCCATCGAAACCTAAACTCTAAGGTGGGCCAATAGATGTGTCCAGAAGTGTATATGCCGATCGACGCATTCTAGAAAGTACCTCTTAAATTGAGAATTACCTAGCACCCGCGAGTACGAAATACCTACTTATACTTACGCAGGTAACACGCATAACTTGTAAACAAGTGCAGATGTCGTTGCACTTTCACCCTTACGCCGCACTGCATAAGGCTCATTTTGGAATGAGCCGCATTACTCGACCCGCGGTGATCTGGCAAATTCGATCTCTAGCACTTTCGCGGTTACGTTTAGAGAGCGTTTGTGACAATAACATAACATAAGTTTATTTCCGATATTTATGCAAATTCACTGTGAGAAATATTTAAATGGTCCTCGACATACATACAGTTGGTAACCTAGAGGTTAGGCTGTAATCAAAATCATTTATACAGTTTTAGGCTGTTACAAGCACTCATGAATGTCTAGAAGCTACGCCATCGGTTCGTAAATCTACGGCGGGAGACCTTGTACTGAGAAGAACCGGCAACAAACTCAGCAAGGACTGTTTTTTTCTCCCTGTTTTATCATTTACAGAGTCGTCAAGTTGAAAAATAACTTCAGAGATGATTCATGAAGTCACCTTTCATTAAATAATGATTAAATATACATTAATTGTTTACCTGCATTTTGATTGCTGTGTCATACAGTATAAATATAATATATGTGTGGAAATAGTGTTTTTTATACAATGTGTAACTCAATTCAATTCATTTATTCCATTAAACAATATAATTGGTTGGAAATAATAATAATACAAAATAAAATAAAAGCAGACATAAATAAAATAATAAATCAATTTACAATTTTTTGATGTCAAAGTGGATTATTAAAATTGTAACAAATAAAAAGAAAATACAAATACACTATGTCAAACTGGATAAAATTCATATATATAAAAAAAACATGTCAACCTAATCCTGTCTCATTAATTCGTCAACACTGTAATAACACTTCTTCAACAAGAAGTCCCTCATTTGTTTTGAATAGATTTGTAATCAATAATCGATAACTAAATATTAACATTTTTAATATCCAAAAAAGTTAGCGCAGACTTATCTCCGCTGGCAGCACCCGTTCACGAGCATGACGCATGAACCAGCGTGCGACTCTGACACCCATATTCTTAATCGCGTCCTCAAACGTTCCTCGACTCAAACTCATTCGAGGGCTCCTTAAGGAGTTCCTCCAAATAACCTCGAAAATGGTATTCTAGTTGGTATCTTGAACAAACTTGAGAATTCCTCCACTGAGAATTCCTCAACATTGTGACGTCATCATTTGGAGGATTTTATTTCTATAATGGTTAACACAGGAAATATTACTTGTATGACTGTATCTTTTCTAAACCGAAATCTTCATTGAAACGAATCATTGTCGTAAACCTTAAAAGGATTTGCGGCATCACGTAAATACCGTCGCGCCGGAAAATTATATGGTTAATCATCGTGTATGTGTTACTGAATAAATAAATAAATAAATCGTATACGTAATCCATAAAATCCACAAATTCGTCAATAATCTCAAAAAAGACATAAAACTTGAAAACAACTTAAACACCACTCGAGGAAGCCTTAAGGTACGTCGAGAGCTACCTTGAGTTTGACAGTTTATTCCTCGACTCGACCTCCACTCGAGTGAGGAATATCTCAAGTGAAGGATATTTTTGTTGTCTAAGCATACGACTTTCCTCCAATGAGGTTGAGTCGAGTGGAAAAAATCTCGAGGAAACGACTAAGAATATGGGTGTGAGCCTTCTTATGAAGCCCATGGTCAACGACCACGTCGCAGCTCCGTCTCTGGTCACTGATAAACACGCACTGTTCGAATTCAGTTGTTTCTTGATAATTAATTAATGTTTTATCTCACAGAGGAATGCAGATTCCAAGGCTCCACAGTGCAGAAGTTGGACGGCTCAGTTCACAGTTTCCAGACAGATAGAGAGGAGATGGTAGCTCTTGCCGACTGCACTGGTTTACCAAGGTAAGGAATGGTACTTATTTAGAGAAAATTATGGCGTCCGAACCACGGTAATAATATCATACAGTATTCTATCTTCATACAAACGGTCGGAAAGCGAGTCATACCTACGCCACTCGAGTTCGATTAGCCGTGCTTAAACGTGCGTTTTGTATTGTAAATATTTGATTTAATTAAGTAGATACCTACATAATTTAGTATGGAAAAGAACAAACCATCAATATCGTACAACAGCACAATTGCTGTTTTTGGTTGCTTGAACTCTTTAATAACACACCCAGAGATATATTTTTTTAAATTACCTGAAATATTGGAAAGGTGTCTTACCTTTATAGAATATTTTTATATACCTATCTACTAGTACGTTATTTGTTTCTAATATTTAGGTTTTTCCATCGGGCAAAATATCTGGAATAATATATAAATAAGTGGTTAGGATGAAAAAAGAGACAAACGAGTAATCTACCTACACTCGCGTTAAAAACAAAACTACATAAAATACTGTAGGCTGGCGGCCCTACCGCGTGCTAACGCAGCGCTAGCCGTAGGCATTTATTTTCAAGGACAGGGCGGAGTCACAATACTGTATAGATAATATTACCGTGTCCGAACATTAAGCCACTAGCAGGAGGTCTACTCTGTTTCAACGAAAAACAAAATTTCGATCAAAATTTCGCACGTTTCTTACTCTGTTTCTTTTTCATTTCGCAAAATTCGTTCGTCCGAAAATAGTTTGACAATTAAATTCTCCAAGCCTACTCTAATTCACAAAACTTTCGAACGAAAAGTTGAATTTGACAGATAATTGTTCGTAATTTTAACCTCAAATTGACGAAATTAAAAGTGTTACCTTTTCATTTTCGTTTTGAGATTTTTGAAGTGAAACTTCTTTATCGGCGTTGGAAAAAAATTTACCGTCACATTTTTCGGTTACGCGTCACATTTTTCCGTTACGCGCCATCTTTTTTTATATTAATAGGTGATAGCTGAATGATCACACTGTCGCCGGCGAGAACTCTCTCTACTCGTTTGTAGCTGAGTGACAATAGTTATTAAAGATAAGACTCGCTCAGCCAAACTCGCATAGCGATACTCGCTCAGCGATACTCGCTCAGCGATACTCGCTCAGCGGTACTCGCTCAGCGATACTCGCTCAGCGATACTCGCTCAGCGATACTCGCTCAGCGATACTCGCTCAGCGATACTCGCTCAGCGATACTCGCCCAGCATAACTCGCTCAGCGATACTCGCTCGGTTAAGCTGGCTTGGCTGTCAGAAGCCGTGCGCGTGCATTTTAACTCAGGACTGCCATTTCGTTTCTAGTTTCTACTCGCTTATCGTTCATCGTCGGAGGTGGAACATGTGCCTTAGATTACTGAGCCGTGTAATCATAACAGTTTCATAGGCAGTAATTTGTATTCATGTCTATGATAATAAAATCCTTTTGTTTAAACTTTATCTAATTTAACTTTATTTAACCAATTTCTGGAAAGTTGCATGTAGATCATTTTTCGAAAAATAAGGCCATAAAGAAGTTTCTCTTCTTACGTGTGTACACTAGTACACGCACATATTTTTTTGTTTTTAATTAAGCCTAAAAGGCTACTTAGCCCGGAGAACATTGTTTAGCATGTAAAATTAACAAATAACCCATTTATTTATTGTAATTCCAATATTTCAAAGTATTAAACGATAAATTTAGGTTGACATACCATAGATTGTATCAACTCTACAAATTAGACGGCTAACACTGTCAAAGAAGGTTCTTTCAATGTCATCAAAAATTTTGCCATGAACTACCTATATTGTTTCCAAGTAAAAAAACGTAATCTCAAAAGTAGAGATAAAGAGAACTCGCAAACATGACTCATTCCATTCGTTCACGAAAACTGTTTGTGGTTCCGAACCTTATGTGTATTCCGTAATATATACCAGTATACTGGCCAGTGCTAATGACGTCATGAATCGACGCTATACTGGTGAATTGTTCCGAAATATATTGGCCAGAGCACTGACGTCATAAATCGACGAAATATTAAAAAAATAGTGCTAATAAAGAAGATTTTTTATTCACCTCATCAATTAAAAGGATATATTTTCGTTCGGATGCCATTATTGTTCTTTAAATAAAAAAATGGATGCGTGTAACTTATGTACGCGCGTGAGAAGTTATACTTCTTTAGCATCATTAAAATATTTTTAAATTGCATGCAAATAATTAATGAAATGTCATTTCATTTCATTTCATTTCATTTCATTCCATTTCATTCCATTTCATTCCATTTCATTCCATTTCATTCCATTTCATTCCATTTCATTCCATTTCATTCCATTTCATTCCATTTCATTTCATTTCATTTCATTACATTTCATTTCATTACATTTCATTTCATTTCATTTCATTTCATTTCATTTCATTTCATTTCATTTCATTTCATTTCATTTCATTTCATTTCATTTCATTTCATTTCATTTCATTTCATTTCATTTCATTTCATTTCATTTCATTTCAATGTCCCACGGTCACTTGGAAAATAAAATATTACAAATAACGCGCCCGCGGCTAACTTCATTATGTTAAAATTTTGTGTTACAGTGATGAAAATTTCACTCTCATAAGTTTTTCATAACGCGGCTAAAGAAGTATAACTTCAAAAAGAAATGAAATTCGAATGCATCTCACGCACGCTCGGTTTTACGTCATATTCGTTTTCCCGGTAAAAATATGTTAGCATACCAGTACAAAATGGCGTCGGATTCGTGACGTCAATACCAGTGGCCAGTATACTTATGTATATTTCGGAACACACCCTAAATAGAGTAGAGTCAGTGGCGAAATTTCGTTTAAAATTCATTCCTTACCGAAATTTCGTTTCGGAGAAAGAGAGTAAAACTCTAGGTCTTCTTCGTAACTCCATAGATTTTTCGATATTTCGGACCAGAAAGTCACGCCATTTTAGTCGACCAGACTAAAGGACAATCACAAACAACTTCTCGCCAACACCGAATTATTGGACACAAGCTGAGGCTCAATAGTCCGGGTGACGAGTACAACCGAACTATCGCGACCTTCTTGTTCTTCACGTTCCTCTCCAATTACTGAAGGTTGGACATCAGCCTTGAAAACCTCGCTTTGTCCCTGGCGAGGTGATACAATTCCGCGGCGCTCTTGACACTGGTCCACTCGCGGATGTTTCGAAGCCACGACTTTTTCCGACGGCCTACTCGACGTTTCCCCGCAATTTTGCCCATCATAATGAGTTGCAGTAAATCGTATCTCTCGTGTCTGAAGACATGACCGAGGTAGGCAACTTTTCTTGTTTTGATGGTCTGCATCAATTTGCGAGTTTGACCGACACGTCTTAGGCTTGTTGAAAATATATCGATGTATCGATATATCGATATTTTTAGCCGATATATTTTGGTTCGATATATCGATACATCAATACAAAATAACCAATATCGAAATTCGTATCAAAAACGATATTTTTTTAATTGTTAGCGGCATATCACGATCTTACTAAATTCGTATCTGGAAAAATCGTAACTAATTTTCGTTCCATTATTATTCCACGTGTCATCTTTCGTGAGATACTGTACTGTCATGTAGTGTAGTGAGCGGCAATTTGGTACTTTGATAATTCTTTCTTTAATTATAATTTGTATTGTTATTATTTCCGATTTTAAAATTGGTCCGATATATTTTTCGCGATATGTCGAAGTCGATATTGATATTTTTTTAAATATCAATGTATCGATATATCGATATTTTTTTCAACTTTCGACATCCCTAACACGTCTTAGAACTTCGACATTTTTAACTTTTTGAGTCCAGCTGATTGAGAGCATGCGTCGGTAAGTCCACATTTCGAAAGCCTCAATACGTCTACGAAGGTCCTCTTTAATAGTCCAAGTTTCGCAACCATAGAGGACTATAGGCCAAATGTAGCATTGAAGTAGACGAGTGCGCAGGCGAATACTGATATTGCGATTGGACAGTATTTATTGATCTCATTTTGTTAAAGGTATTGCGGGCGATCGCAACCGAATATGTTTTATTTATCCCATAATAATAATGTACCATTTTTTGAAGTTATACTTCTTTAGGCGCGTTATGAAAAAATGATGAGAGTGAAATTTTAAGATGCGCGCGCATCACTGTAACACCAAATTTTAACAGCATGAAGTTGGTCGCTTTACCGACCAACTTCATGCGTTACTTTTGTGTTTACCGCACATTAAGAAAATCTACCAACAAAATAGAAATAGAATCTCTATTTAGTGAGTGCTAACGACTGCATTGTGAAGGCCTATCAAAAGTATTTATTAATCTGGAACAACGGAACCAAAGCGCGATTCAGGAGACTACAGCGCCATCTCTTGACCATTGGTGTAGTAGAACCAAAAACCACATCTTTATTTTTTGTAATAAAGTAACAGTTATAGGTATTCATATTTATAATATTTATCCACATGTTTCTAATTTGTATATTCGGAATACGTGTTTGAGTTTCATACAAGTGCAAATCACATATGTTCTAATAAATTATATTTGTAATTGAGAATCCTTGTACAATATGTTGACTTTGTATATTTTATTGACATCATCATCATCAGTCTATTAATGTCCCCACTGTTGGGGCTTAGGCCTTCCCTGTGGATGGAATAGGGAGATTGGGCCATGACCCACTACGCAGGCCTGGTGTGGATTGTGTGCTAACAACTGCAGATGCAGCCGGGACCAACGGCTTAACGTGCCTTCTGAAGCATGGAAGAACTCGAGATAGAAGATTTTTTTGTCACCCATCCAATGACCGATTACTGCGAAAGTTGCTTACTGTTTATTGACATAATATTAGGTCATTAGGTCATCTTCAACTCTGACATTCATAAATTTGCAGAAATAAGCAATTCGTTTTTTCCTATCTATTTGCATGTTATTTTTGAAATGGCAAAACAAGTTCTCAACTAACTTTTTACAATACCTTCATACAGTGTTTTTAGAAAATAATGATTAGAGGAGCTAGATGACGCCAGTGGTTAGCGCGTTCGGCTGCGGTCGTTGAAGTTGAGCAACTTTCGCAGTGGTCGGTCATTGGATGGGTGACCAAAAAATTACTATCTCGAGCTCCTCCGTGCTTCGGAAGGCACGTTAAGCCGTTGGACCCGCTGCATCTGCAGGCGTTAGCACCCACCAACCCGCACTGGGCCCGTTGGGTCTTGGCCCAATCTCTGTAATCCAACCAATGGGGAGGGCTTGTGCCCCAGCAGTGGGGAAGTTAATAGCTTTGCAACTTCTACTCCTCTCAGTTAGGGATGATCGATATTCATCGATGTTGAACTGGAAAACATCGATGTTTTAACATCGATGGGTTGACTTCGACATCATCGAAACATCGATGTTACTAGAATAAAATATCAAAACGTCAATTATTCTTTTGGGCGCCGTCTAGCGTGCATTAGGTGTAGTAGCTTCAAGTAAATGTTGCATAGTCATAAGCAGATGACTATCTAGTTACAATTACATATTTTCCACTAGATGACACTGATCAAAATAATCGGAGTAAGCCCAAAGCCCTATGTACGATACGCCCTAAGTTTACTCTCATTATTAAAAGTGGATCGCTTTAAAATGGCCTGTCATCAGAGCCGTGGGCGCCTTTTGACGAATATTTTATTGCATGTTTAATCAGAACATAATCTACTTTAGAATCTAATAAAAACATTACATCTCTCTCAAAAAATACGTGTTTATATTTTAATATTAAAAAGTACACTCTTACCGAGACACCCCTATCTAATAATTAAAATATTTCATAAATATAATAGACAGTTTTATTTGTTACCAAAAACATCGATGTTTTAGACATATCGATTTTTTTCTATCGATATTTATCGTACATCGATACTTTTGCTTAGATGTTAATATCGATGTCAACATCGATGTTTTTCTAATATCGACCATCCCTACTCTCAGTGCCATCGACCATGTCACCTCTTGAACCAGTTAGCATTAATTATTATGTCCTTTTCTCAAAGGTTCGCAGTATTAAGACAGAAATCTGGAGATGTAAAAGTTTATGCTGGTGGGAAATCTGTGTCCACCAAACTGCAAGGGAACGGAAGTTGGGACATCAAAGGCGATGATACGATGAAATATTTCAGGTCTGTAGTTGAAAAGTTAGTATGCTGTAAAATGAAATTCTCACTTCGAGCTTCGATGGTAATAAAATATGAGACTTAGTGTCGCCGCACACGGGCCACACGCCACAGCCACAAACGCCGCCACGAGAAGCTAGAAGCGGCTACTAAAGTGGCTGAAGCGCGCGACAGCGGCCGACTAAGGTAAGGGAGAGAGGGGTGGGGAATCGCACGAGTGACGTGTGGCGGCGTTTTGTATCGGCGCATTAAGTGGCCGGTGCGGGCCACAAGAAGCGAGCAACGAGGACTTGTAGCGTGTGGCGGCCACCGGCGTCCCGTGTGTGGCGAGTCCATATAAAATGTATGAAAACTACAAGAAATATGCCGGTGGCGACGTTTTGCGGTTGTGGCCGGTGGCCCGTGTGCGGCGACAGTAGGAATAGGGAGATTGGGCCATGACCCACCACGCGGGCTCAGTGCGGATTGGTGGGTGCTAACGACTGCAGATGCAACCGGGACCAACGGCTCAACGTGCCTTCCGAAACACGGAGGAGCTCGAGATAGTAAATTTTTGGTCACCCATCCAATGACCGACCATTGCGAAAGCTGCTTAACTGCAACGATCGCAGCCGAACGCACTAACCACTTGCGCCATCGAGCTTCACATTTCGTGCCATGCTGAATAAAGTACTTTATTTAAAACTAGCGTTTTGTGGTTGTGGTCGGTGGCCCGTGTGCGGCGACACTTATATCGCTTTGAAAAGAGAGGTAGGGCATACCGGACTTTTCCGTACGAATTGGAGCGCCCGTCTGGGAAAGTAACCGCCTTCTTAAGTAACCTTACAGAAGATCACAGTAAAATAGCATTACCTTTCGGTGGTGCTGTGTTTCTGTCACACACACACACACACACACACACACACACACACACACACACACACACACACACACACACACACACACACACACACACACACACACACACACACACACACACACACACACACACACACACACACACACACACTCACACACAAACATATATATATATACAGGGTGTGACAAAAGTCCGAAATAAAACTTTAGGGTTTGGTTGTGTTCCTTGGCTAGAATTACCTACGAAAGTTTGACGCCTTTCAGACCAGTTTTATTTTCTAATTAAATTAATAAAAATATCGTTTTACACCTGCCTATGACAACCCTATAAATACAAATTTTTATTTCGGAATACATACCTACAAATTTTATTTCGGAATTCTGTAACACCCTGTATATATACAGAGAGATAGAAATACACACACTTTTCGACTATGTATGTCAGTTGCTTTTCTTTTCAATTTTAATATAATATGTTACTTTTTAATTTTCAAATGCTAATATGTGCTAAATCTATTGGCGGTGTATGCCGTAATACAGGCATTTGCCTAGCAGCAGATAAATATGTTAGTACTGCTTTAGCCTTATAAGTGAAATTGTAAATCATCAATATTTCTAGCTGACTCGGCGAACTTCGTACCGCCTAAAGTGATAATTTGCAATAAAATTGCAAATTATCAATATCAAATCGCCTAATAATTATCTATAAATTGAGATAAAGCGTCATTAAATTTAATGGGTGAAATTAGTTTAATTACTAGTTTGATAAGTTTAATATCTTTATTTTTATTCATGTTAATTTTATTTTATTAAAGCTGGGGATAGTTTGAATTTATATTCATTTATTCAACATGGATTTTTTTTTTCAAGTCTAAGTCTAACCTTTCAAGTTGGATCAAACTGCACACGGTGTGCAAATTTGATGATGCTTTGTACGCCAGGTTCCATGGTGTCGCCGACTCGAGAGCTCCTGGGTTCGAATCCCAGTGGGGGCAGATGTTTGTGTGATGAATACGACCATTTGTACTCCAGTCATGGATGTTTAATATGCATTTCTATAAAAATATACTTATATATGTACAGTATATGTATTCTATCCGTTACCCTAGTATCCCATAACACAAGCCTTACAGTACTTACTTTGGGGCTAGGCTAATTGGTGTGAGGGTTGGAAATATTTATTTATTTATATTAGGATTTTTAATAATTTCCTTTCATTTCACAGGATCACAACGCTCTTTGACGGTGTGAAGATTCAATCTAAAGGTTCCGGAATACAAGTTTACAACCGGATTAATGAAACAGTTATCCTTGTACCAAACTCTCATCTCCATTCGATTTGTGGAGAATGCACTCATGTTTTAAACGACAAGGAGAAATTGAATTGAGCTTTTGGAGAAACTGTTTATTTCATACAACAATAATGTAAAGATTTTGTTTTGAAATAAAATTATCTGTTTAATAATTTGTTTAATTCATCATCGTTATCAGCCTATTAATGTCCCCACTGCTGGGGCACAGGCCATCCCTATGGATGGAATAGGGAGATTGCGCTATGACCCACCACGTGGGCCCAGTGCGGATTGGCGGATGCTAACGACTGCAGATGCAGCTGGGACCAACAGCTTAACGTGCCTTCCGAAGCACGGAGGAACTCGAGTTAGAAGATTTTTGGCCACCCATCCAATGACCGACCACTGCGAAAGTTGCTTAGCTTCAACGATCGCAGCCGAACGCGCTAACCACCTGCGCCATCGAGCTACTCAATTTGAAAAAAAATGTTTACTCATTTAACCGAAATTGAAACATAGAGGCATAAGAATAGAGTGGGAAAGGCGGCTCTAAAAGTGTCCGTCTAGTAGAAAGAGAAAGAAGATGAGAGACGGCTAGCTATCTCTCTCTTTTGTGACGCATGGCATACAATGGCATTACATCGAAATTGGGAAGAGCTGCGTGGTGTGACGCTCGTGACGCATTTCCGTTTCTTGGTCTCCATAGGATTTTTTTACTTACAGCCCGCCCGAAAAGAAGTACTTCAAAAATTAAGAAATAATACAATAGGGATGATGACTATTTTTTTTTTCTTCGTTTATCAGGTAGATTTTCAAAAAGTATTGGCACGTATTTTTTCTTTTTTCCCATAATATAAACATTGCAGAGATATATTGATTTGAAAAGTCGCATGACGTCACGTTTGAGTACACTTATAAGTGAAAATTCACTCAAAAGTGACGTCACGAGCCCCTACTCCCAAACTCTGACGCACTATAACTTTGTCATTTTTTGGTTGATTGTCCAAAGAAAAAATACGTGTCCATTATTTTTTGATCATCTAACTGACGGACTAAATAGAATTTCGTTTACTGTACCCCGTCATCACCCCTATTCTTTACTTTTACATCTAAATGACATTTCAAGTCGATTAATCATTATTATGGTGTCAGTGTCATGCCATCTCAAGCAATAAACGGTAATTCAGACCTATTAGGGCGCTTTCAATTTATGCGTTTCTTGGCGGCCGGCTGAGGTGCCGAACCGGTGCGTTTGTCGTACAGCGTACGGACGATCCTTTTATTTCATACATAAATAAATAAAATAAATAAATAAATATTTCCAACACTCACACCAATCAGCCTAGCCCCAAAGTAAGCACTATAAGGCTTGTGTTATGGGATGCTAGGGTAACGGATAGAATACATAAACTATACATATATAAGTATTTTTATATAGAAATACATATTTAAACATCCATGACTGGAGACAAATGCTTGTGTTCATCACACAAACATCTGCCCCCACCGGGATTCGAACCCGGGACCTCTCGAGTCGGCGACGCCATGAAACCCGGCGTATAAACCACTCGGCCAAGGAGGTCGTCAGGTAACATAACATAACGCGCGGTGCGGCAACAGTGCGGCGCCGGTACTGCGAGAACGCTCGACAACAGGACAAATCCCACACCACCTATGGCCTGACGAACCTTCTTGGTTATGCAGGCCGAAGCAACAGGAGATACGCGCGGAATGGCCTCCACCGCGCGTACTTAGTCTTAGTCTTAGTCTTAGTAGTACGGCGGGCTGTTTCCGCAACTCGACACCCAGTGCCTATTTTGCGTGGGGATGGCATCAGTCCTGCCATCCCAGCTCCTCCAGAAAGCTCAGCAGTCCCCGGATGTTGTTGCAGGCTTCTACTAGTGTCCGCGGGCTTCCCATTAGAGAAGTCCTTTGTCTTGCAACGCCGCTGCACTCCAGCAGAACATGGGCGCTCGTCTCCTCCTCCTCCAAGCAGGCTCTGCACAGAGGGCTGTCAGAAATACCTATATTATAAAGGTGTTTGTTGAAGTAGCCGTGACCCGTGAGTATACCCACGATTTGTTTCAGGGCTTGTCTAGGTAGTCTGATTAACTTACGTGTTAGCTGCTGGTTTACCTTAGGAACGGCTTCCCTAGCTTGCCTGCAGTCAGTGTGTTTTGCCCAATATTCATCGTGTTGTCGTTGAGAGCGCTCCCTTATCCAGGTTCGCAACTGCCGATAGGGTATGGGTATAATTGGCTCCGGACCAATGGCCGTCCTGCTAGACCCCTCCCTGGCTAAGCAGTCCGCCGCATCGTTACCCCTTGAGCCGCTGTGTCCTTTAATCCACCGCGCGTACTTTCTTGACTCCCTACAAATTATTCTTTATCTATCTCTTTGTAACTATGGTCCCTCTCCCCTTTCTGGGGCGGACGAACACGAAACGCCTTCGTCGCCATCCAAGCCGCCCCGTGCCCACTCTGAAGTGGTACCGCTGGCTCCAAATTGAATGGTCCTCTTCTTTCTTCGCCCCGGGTCTTCTTTCTTCACCTCTCGAGTCCACTCCGAATCTTGTGCCATCTACGCGCGAAATCCCGCAGCCGCCTGAAGTTCGCCTCCGATCCTACAAGGTCACGATAGTAGACCGGCATAACCTCGAGCACCTTCACACTGTCCAGAAGTTCCCTACGCGCCTCCCCGTAGCAGTGTTTCCACTTTAATGATTTCCTTTCCCCACGCCTCAATTCAGATTTCCCCTTCTTAGGACATTTTTCCCCTCAAAAAATATTCCGCTGTAGTTTTCAGATTTGGCACTAGTGTAGTAACTAAAGAAAAAAAAGGATCTTAATCTATCTTATTCTATAACAGATAAATAAAATATATAAAATCTGCACGTGTTGCCACAGTTTCTTTTATACGGCAACACTAGTCCATAAAACTTAAATTTGTTCAGTGCCGCATTATTTTAGGCTAGGCTTTACCCATAATTTCCCTTTCTTCTTCTTTTATATCTTTCCCCTTTTTCTTCCCCTCTGGACCCTAATTTCCCCTTAAAAGGGGAATTTCCCCTCATTGTGGAAACACTGCCCCGTAGAGCTCACACTCCCACAGAGCGTGGTATGCGTCCTCTACTTCTCCCTCCCCGCAGTAGCACGACCCCACCTCCGCGAGCTTCATTCTGTTGACGCACCGCGCGTTTTGTATGAAAAAAAAAGGTTCGTCCGTACGCTGTACGACAAACGCACCGCTTCGGCACCGCAGCTGGCCGTCAAGAAACGCATAAATTTAAAGCGCCCTTAACATGACACCACAGAACACAGAAAGACAAAGTATAAGACAATAAATACAGACCAATAAAAAACAGTTAAAATATCACAAATCAACTTTTTTATGTTGATCTAGGCAAAAGAGCTAGCGGTCTACGTCATAATAAGTGGTCACTGCTGCCCATGGACACTTGCAGCACCAAGGGTCACTCATGCGTTGCCGTAAATTTTTAAACCCGGACTACAAATAAAACCCCGCCCGGACGCTCCCCGGACGCCCCGTAAACTAGGACAAATCCGGGAAAACCCGGACGGATGGCAGCCCTAATTATAGTTAATGCAGTGATACAGAATAATTTAGCCCGCATAGTAAACTACCCATCTTCCTTATCATAGAACCCGTGTGTTCACATAACCATACGTAAGTACAGTTTCACTAATATACAAGGAAATCGAAATGTCTGTTCGTACGGACATTTTATTAACAAGGCATTTAACATTCTAAGCACGGATATTTTAAGAGTAATCTCGATCACTCAATACTTTACAATGTTTAAACAACTCATTTTCATCAATTCTACCCCCAAAGGGATAAAATAGGGATTGAAAGTTTGTATTAAACTTTGTCAATTTTAAACCGATCGGGCTGAGACTTTGCATGCAGGTATAAGAAGAATCATAGATGAATGTTATTGTGTATAATACAAGCCTGAGAACAAAAACTGTCTACACTTCAGCTCTACACCGATGGGAAGCGAGGGCGGGCCGCTAGTTAGTAAATAAAAATAAACCACTTATGGAAGAGCGGTGTCCTCTGACTCATGCCTGTTATTTTGTAAAAAATTTATTAATAAGAAATAAAGATTTTATTTTTAAAGATTTTTTTCATAACCTAATACACAGAATTCTCAAACTAGGCTCTGAGCCTGTATCTTGAAGAACCAAAAAAATGACGCAAGCAAACCTGCGGGATAGCGTAGTTTCAATTTAATACTACATACAATATATAAACTATAAAACTTCACGCTTCGACTTGCATTTCGTTCAAAATGTTCGTGAAAACTGCAGTATTCTTCGTGATTTTGATAATTTTCAAAGCTGGTGAGTTGAGACATTTTAAAAATCATAATTATAAAAAATCAGCATATTAAACTCCCACTGCTGGGGCAAAGGCCTTCCCTATGGATGGAATAGGGAGATTGGGCCAAGACCCACCACGCTGGCCCAGTGCAGATTGCGACTGCAGATGCAGCCGGAACCAAAGGCTTAACGTGCCTTCCGAAGCACGGAGTAGCTCGAGACAGTAAATTTTTGGTCACCCATCCAATGACCGACCACTGCGAAAGTTGATTAACTTCAATGATCGCAGCCGAACGCACTCACCCCTTGCACAAGACAATAAGTTACTTGATGAATAGTTAAAAGTGTAACTAGTACTTTAATGATATTTTTGAAGTGAAAATTTCTTTAGCGGCATTGTACACTTTTTTTGTATGGGTAAAAAATGTTAAGCTCGCGTCAGGACACGTGGGGTGATCGCATCATGACACGTGGCTTGATCGGGAATCTGGCGAAAACAATAAAATAAGAAAGTTTGTTGACTTTCAATATATTGGACGAAACATAGTAATATTTTATTTTATCGTATTATAATAATAAGTCTCTATCTAGGACGTCCACGTGGCAGCTTTTTTGCGAAGGAAATGCGTTTTTTTTACAATAGCTGTCGCTAGGTACGCCTAAATGTGATTAATGTAAGTTTATTTTTTTACAATAGATGTCGCTAAGTGCGCTTAAACGTGATTCATGTAATTTGATTTTTCTGAACGATAAACTTTTTTAATGTATTTATTTATTTGATCACCAATATAATAAACACTGACACAACAATCTAGCAGGTTATGATAAAATACTTAAGCTTAATGTTATTACAATTATA